TTGCAACCTTTCCACCTCTCAATGTGAGTATTCTTCTAGTGACAATTTTGGTAACTCTAATGCATCGATTGCACGATAACCGCCGTCATTCATAGTCTATTGCCCTTTTTAAATTATAAGCTCACTGATTTATGCCCATTTCAATGTTTATCCGAGCTTACTGCATAATGTCGACACCTCACACTGAGACTACGAATCTTTCCTTATTGTACGTATTCTAACAGAGCCGTGGTTATTAAATTAACTGAAAATCCACTGACCTCTTACGACCTCTTAAAACTCAGCACAAATCTATGAAACTGATGTGAGTGGGGCCGTTTAGCACGGCCCACGCTTGAGCATCAGAATCATGCTCTAAGGCGGCTAATTAATACACAACAGAAGCAACGGCAAATCGATGAAGGTAATGCTTAGAATTGGCAATATTTAAAGGTTGTGTGATCTCTCCTGCAGAAAGCAATGGCTGGCTTCGTCTACCTTCCCTTCCTTGTGGTTGTCGTGATCTGTTGGTGCTTCTTTTTCTTTGTGATGCCGGAGACGAAGAATAAATCATTCGATGAAATTGCCAAAATACTCTCCGGTGAACCTCGTAGCAACGCGAATGGTGGTAACAGCAATGTCAATGCCAACTCGAATTTGACACCGAAGGGCATTACCCAGGCAGAGGAAGGCAACACTCTGTAATATGTGGACAGTATTCATTTCCAAATAAAGTCTTGTTTTTACTAGACTATTTTTACAGGCTACTTTGGTGAAAAGCAGAATTGTTTCAAATTGTCAAAGTCTTCATTACTTCACAGGGTTATCCATGTCAAGATACTGCATTGAAACCTTTCCTAAAGCTGACTGACGTGTGTCGTACAACCTCGTGTTCAAAATAGCCGTGCTTCAATCCCTTCAATTCTAAGTGAGCAAGGATTGGAAAAATGAAAAGAGATGTTAAACGCTACTTCGGTTCTAAATAGCGCCCTTAGAAATGGGCTGATTCATGCAACGCCCATCGAGCTCCCAATGGGGTGCAACTAAAGCAAAGTGTGCATGGAGAATCTCAAGATCAATGGTGCGCACAGAACATGCCATGTGACAAGATTGCCCTTGTCACTTTCGGAGCATTGAGTGTTTATGTTTGTGGATGGTTTTTAAACATTGGAACCATAAGTCTCCGATGGAGGTCGCAGCATTTTGGATGAGCATTAAAACCTACGCAATCTTATTTTAACACGGGCTTATCCGGCGTCTTTAGCTCAGCCAAAGCGCACCTTCATATTCCAAAATCCCAACGTCCGGTATACCGCTGCTAGCGAAAACAACAAAAATACACCACTCAAGGGAATGGGGAGAATAGAGCAATTAATACCAATATGCGGTTCAGGAGGAGCAAAACCCTTTCCTTTACAAAGCAACTCTGGTGGAGGGGTTATTGACGCATTTTTGGTCATGAAAAGTACAAAACCAAACAAAGCATCTGCTTTGCCATGCAGCTGCACTGCTGATTAGGTTCACTAGCCAATAAAAGGGAGAAGATTGTACGCGAAAAACCGCGTCGGTAGCGAGTGTATTAGCTAAATCAAGTTGAGAAGGATTAAAAATCCTTTCGTACGGCGACTGAAGTTGGATTCACCCATTGGAATTGACTACTTAATTGGTAAAATTAACTGCTTTCTACTATAGTTATTTAATTTAATTACTTTCAGTAGGATGAGTCTACTACGGGAAGACTGTGGCGCCTCTGATGTATGGAGATAAATGGCCGGTTCCAAATAGCTGCTTTAAACGACTGGTTCATCCTCTGAGCGTTTGTCACTTGCCAGATTTCTGACATCAAACCAAAGAAGACATCGAAACTTACGCCACCGAACTCTCCGTATGAACCACCACCCTGCAGATTTACCCAAACGACCACCGTTTTGCGAAGGGTGGACTCCTCAATTGGTAAGTTGTCACTATGGTCGTCCGCTGGGGTGGTTAGATCAGAGTCCTGTCACTAGGATGAAGATCGGACGGTGAAGGCAAAAGGTAGGATGCGGAGCTAGTTTGAAAAACTTTAGCCAAATTTCTGTAGAAAAGGAAAATTAGTTCAAACTTAAACGATAAATAAAGTAATTGATCGCTGCAAACGTAAACGTAGACTGTGGGGGTTCAAACTGAGAGATAAAAAAAGTGGTCCGATGCAATTTGACTGTCAAACTGCATGACATTTTAAAGCAGAATAACTATGGATGGAGATTCTCTCCGCTTGCATTGGGACGGGATGAAGGCGTTATGACAATTATGTAAATTACTAACAACTTAAGATCAAGTGAAGCTGCTGCTGTTCAAATAAGTGATTAATTATAGTTAGTGTGACTAGAAAGCCTCCCAGTCAAAATAGCTGGAGTGTCACATCTTCAGCATTCTTTTCAATTTTCCCCACTGAGTCTATTAAAACCACCCATTATAAGCGATTTGGTAAATAGAGTGCCCTCCTTCGTACACAGATCATCCCATTTCCTTATATTAAAAAGTGCCGAATACGTGATATCTTGTTTAACTGAATTAGAGATAATGGGTATTGAAGCAAGCACAAGACATATTGGTGACCCAGACACGTACGTCCTCCACATTTTGGCTCAGTCATGTGCTTAGAGGTCCACAGACACGAAGGTACGCCCTCTTCTGCGGATCACATGCTTTAATAAAAGCATGACACGGATCTAATGGATTACTTCTTCTAGACGTATTATTTGCAAATAATTTCTGTCAGGTACTTGTATAAGTACAAAGGTCATGTGCACCTGATCTTCGACAACTGTGATGCCTTGGTATTTCCATCGGCAACAAAATCTATAAATTACCCCAGTCCCTTAATTCCATTTGCCATGGCTTTCGTCAAGCATATGCCCAAAATCCAGTGTTCTTTATACGTCCGTGACCATACTTCAAGTTCTGCGCTCATTTAGAAAAGACCCTTAGACTCCCCCTAATCTTCTTCCTTTGGGAGAGAATTAGCTCATTAAGCCTTCTAATTGTTCGACTGTAGGCAATGTGGCGCGGGCAGCCATTAAATAAAAAGCATCTGTGCAGGTAAGCTAAAAGTACGCATTTAGTTTGAGGCTGCGCCCATGCGCCTCAGTTATTTTACGGTCACTTTTTGAAGAGCAGAAATTTAGTCTCCTGTTATAGCTAAAGTTTAAATGAAACGTCAGAAAAGGAGTAATTAGACTATGCGCTGAGGGCGATTTGAGCGAAAATATTTCAAGTCTGTTTTACAAAATCGAAACTGGACAGAAGCCGAAAGATTTCCACCTGCGCTTTCAGTCCACATACAATCGGTCACCGGTACATTTGCCCCCGACCGCACACTATAACGGTCTAAGGTACACGAAAGCTTGCCAATCCACTTCTAACAGGTCGTTTTAATCACTTCAGCATTAATAACCACCCAGTAAGATTTGCAAAAAGGAGGAAAATAAAAACAACAACAGAGTCATTATCAAAACTATAGTGAAGTCCCGATTGACCTGCCACATCTATAAGAAGAATGAAGAGCGAAGAGTTGACCGTGCAGTAACTTGGTCTATGGAGAATGGGGGTAAAATGGGATAGAAGGCAAGTAAGTGGGTAGATGAGGGGAAGCGCGGACACAAACAGCAGGGGGGAGTGCATCACGCCATGAATAAACGGAAGAGAGGGGAGGGGGAAGGAGAGCAAAGAGAGTAGTCTAGGCATCGACCTTGGAGTCGTCGTCAGTGCGTCGGAGAGCGGTGGCGGCCTCCTCGTCTTCCTTGGTGAAGACAGGCGACTGCAGCGCCGCGGTGCGCTTACCCACCACAATGCTCCCGAAGGCCAGATCACGTGCCACCTCATCAAAGGTGCGGTTCTTCGTCTCCGGCATGAAGAGGAAGAATACCACCCAGCAAACCACCACCACCACAAGATACGGCAGGTAAACGTAGCCTTTCAACAGCCCCTGTAAATCACATCCACACATACTACGTGACACCCCCAAATTAAAGGAACTCGCAACGACTCCCATCTCCCACGCCCTGTCGGCTTATTAGTGTCTCCACACGCATGCTTTGTTGCAGTTCAGTGGGATTTTCCACTGTACTCAGGAGTGGTATAAGTGGTTTTAAAAAGAAATATGTTGGAATGGTTTACACTTGACGTAAATAGGCTTTTATTTATTGTAAACAGGAGACACTTTTGCCTTCAAAATAAAGTATGGGAATTTATTTAATCAAGATAATAGAAAAAATGCTGGGAAGTGGCTGTCCGCTCCCTACACGAACACAAGAGCCCTATTAATAGTGTTTGCAATCTAGTAATCCGCTTAATGTTCTGCAGACCGGCCATCCTCACTCAAATGACGCCGACTTTAAGTCAGAATATGGGAAGTTAGCTTTTTCGCATCTAGAAGCACTCCAAGCAATCATCGGACTCAGCTACCACGTGTGAATAAGATAACCCTTTCAAATCAGACTTTCAAAGGAGGTCTTGGGGTGCTTCGTCTAATACATTGGAATATCGAGTTTAGAATACTTTTGTTGGTTAGGTAAATTAGTGGTGCAGTCAATGACTTTTGCTTATTTCGTAGATTTCCACTGAGCCTAAAGTGGAACTATTTGAAATAAAATAATAAATTAACTTTGTTTTGTTTTATTCAGCACACCTCGAAACTTTTTAAGAGTAGTCTATCACCAAAATTACGTCTAACTCCCTCATACTGCTGAGAGAGAGGTGGTTAATGATGATTTACGAGTACAGTCCATTATCTCACTTGGAGCCGGAAGGGAGGAGGAAGAGGCTTACGTTGAGCGAAGGGAAGGAGGCTACGACAATGAGATTGCAGGCCCACTGGATGCTCTGACTGAGGGAATAGGCGGCGGCGCGGGGACCCTGACGGAAGATTTCGGCGACGATAAGCGCGGGCATTGGACCGAGACCCATGGCGAAGGCGGCGACATAGATGAAGACGAGGACAGCAGAAACGAGAATGAAGGGCATCTTATTGACAACACCATCGTTGTTAGCGATATTAACGAAGATCACCAGAAGCAGCAGTGTTAATGCCAGCACGAGGGTGGGCCACAGCAGAAGAGTGCGCCGACCCGCCTTCTCCAACAGCGGCAGCGCCACGATTGTGCAGATGACGTTGAGCAGACCCAGGCCTACCACAAAGTACTCCAGCATGTCTGACGACACGTTGGCGCCTTTCAACATTTCCGAGGAATTCGCAACCACCTAGACCACAATGCGTGACACAAAGTTACATCTACATTATTCATTCTCCACAAGGTAAGCTACTTTAGCTAGTCGGCGATACGCGATTGCAGGGTGCGACTTCAGCAACGATTTAATGGATTATAAAACAGGCAAACGGAATTCCATTTGTTGTGATATTTGTTGAAACTCAATAGTAGTTTTGCTCCATTACAGTAAGATTACCTCCATCATCTTCAAATAAAGCATTTAAATGACTTTAATAAACTAGAGACCACTTGTCTGATTAACACATGCATAAAGCAAATTCTACGCTACAGTATAATAACAGGCAGCTCTGAAGGTATGTTATGTTGTTAATAAAAATGCTGAAAATATTTCAACTAATCCAATGAGAACTCTAAGTAAAATCTTGTTTCCTTAAACTCTGTCCCTCTCTGAATAAGGCAATATTTGGTGTGGAATTCCCTGGTTCCGATAATTTTTTAAAAGCTTTACTGGAAGGTTATTCGACAAATTTTTGGTGACGCACCTTTTGGAAGCTAGTCATCTCGGTGAAGGAAGATTTGCGGTTCCCAATTATGAATGCGCTCGAACTTGAGTTGATGACTCACACAGCTTTGGTAAGTGATCTGCAACATTCTTTGAGTTGCATATCTCAAAGAAACTAGGTGGCACAATGCATTATCCCATATGTACCACTCCTCCGCCTGAAGTTGCGGAAGAAGTGCGTAGTTAAGAGCCGCTCACTTTCGCGGCATGAACTCGCTGGATGAAAAAATCAAAAGTATGCTCGCATGTTTTTGTCACGATTTCACATTACGGATTTCACAGGCTTGGCGATCAATTTGTGGTCCTTATCTACGGACCACACCACACTGCTGCAAAATGCTTAATGGTATGAGCATTTACTTTGTACAAGGTAAGGCAACATGCTGCTTGCGCCAGCAAAATATTGCAGGGTCAGCCAGAGCCCACAAATACCCATTTCGGTAAGATGTAACCAGAAGTAAACTTACTCACTTTTAAACAATCCATGAAGCATTCTCGCAAAGTCGGCACACTGACACACATAATCTTGTAAAACCTCACTATGAGGTTTTACAAAAGCGACCTTCAGGTCGTAAGTAGTATGGATGTGCCCAAAGGTACGAAAGAGATGACTTACAGCATTAATTCCCGAGAGCTGCTGCATGACCTGGATGAGAACCGCTAAGATGACAGGCATACGGAGATCTCTGCGACGAAAGAGCTCAACAAATTTGAACTCTGGTTGGTTCTGAGCCACCTCTAGCTCTTCGCGCATCTCGGCGATGAACATGTCCACATTCTCGGAGCCGTTAATGTGAGCAAAGGCTTTGCGTGCAGCCTCCTCGTCCTTCTTCTTGAGGTAGAGCCAACGCGGCGACTCGACAGTGAAGAAGGAGATGACGAGAGCGACTGCAGCGGGGATGGCGCCGACGCCCATGGCGACTGGCCAGAGAGTAGGTGTGTTCAGGAGGTGCGTGAGGGTGAGCACATAGGAGATGAGAATGCCGATGGTAATAGCCAGTTGGTTGCAAGCTCCGATCATGCCCCGCAGATGACGTGGCGCGATCTCTGTGAGGAACATCGCTGCAACACCAATGCTCAGACCGCTGTTCAGACCACTGATCGCACGTCCGAAATACAGCAGGGCAGGCTGATTCGCCACCAGACACACAGAAGAGATAATTGATCCCACAATGCCGACCACATTGTTCATCATTAGGCTGCGCTTCCTGTAGAAAAAGACGCCAACAAACATATTAGAAGTGCTGTGTGCAAATTAATCTAAGATGAAATTACAACAAATCATGGGCATTTGGGAGCCAGACTGTATGTGGTGGGTAGATCGTTGTGTAGCATACGAGTAATGAGGTCCTATGAAGTTCACACAGTAGATATTAGTGTTTATTTTACTGGATTTGAACTAGCTTTCTTTGTATTCCGACCCGCCACAGCTAGTTTGGCAGATCCATGATCTTATTGAGTGCTTTTTGAGGAGGATAGAAGGGGTCAAATCATCACACCTGCCCAGGCCATCGGCGATCCAACCGCAGGTGAAGGCTGCAATGGCGGCACAGATGACCAGCACCGAGGTTGTCTGGCCGTAGAGGAAGTTGGCATCCAAACCGGACGTGTTATCAGGCTTGTAGTAGCCAACCAAAAACCTTTTGATGTTCTGTTGGGACGAGGCATAAAACAGGCGGTCAATGGTGATAAGTAAAGTGACAATGATCCGTTACAATAGACACCAAAGGCGGTACTCTTACTTGACATCTTGAAATACTACATATTGACAATTTATGGTTCAATTCAAAACTTTTCGTAATTGTGTGTTATTAGAAATGAGAGAAAGTGAAAGTGAGGAGAATGTGTTGGGAGTTTTGTTTGATGATAAGCAAAGTGAAGTACAACTGAATGGCTGAAGGTCAGGTCAGCTTTAATATCGGCTTTACTGCTAGGCGTAAGTATGTGTCTGGCCGAATCTGTCAAACCTGCTGGTTTGATGCCCAGTCCTCAACTCTTAAATGAAATTCCAGGTGGGTGGTGTAATCAGAAAGTGATATGTATCGATGTGAATGGGTAAACACACTACACGTGGATTACTGGGTCCCCGTTTCAACCGAATTCAACTTCTTTACATCTTAGTGAACAGAAGGCAGCAACTGGCAGGCAATTGAAGTAGTCTTTGCAACAAATGGCCAGCAACTTACATCTCCGGGCAGATTTGCGACGCCCAGATTGTAGCCCAGGAGAAACGATGAGCCAAAACATGTCGTGAAGATTGATAAAACTAGTGGTCCAGATATACCTTTCTAAAATTTTAAATGCTGGATTTAAGTAGAAAGATTTCCCAAACCGAAGACAATAGTTACCAGCCGTGTTGCACCTTTAGTGCAATAGACTGCGCGCCAATTCATAGGAGAATGATTGGCATTAAATCTGTCACGTATTCGATTATTGCAGTTACGTTCAAACCATTGGAAGATTTTCCAGTGGTAGGCGATCAATCAGTTTGAGAGAAAAATGCCAACGCTGAACCTTATTGGTGGTCATTCAGCGGCTAAAAAGTGAAATTCGCAAATACCTACAAAGGCCTTCAGCGACCAAAGTCAAAACTGCGCAACGACCCGAGGCAAATTTAAATAAGGAACAAAACCACTGACTATTCACTCACTTTGAACTCTACCGAGGTAATATTTACAATATTTGTGCAGCCCTTGTCGGGCCGGCAATGGTATTAAGTGGGTCTGAATCAATGCTGCACTACTCAGGTAATGTATTAGGAATAAGGCGGTGTTCGAATCACAAATTATCCTTAGAGGTCCTTATTTTAAATGAGCACAGGTCTTTGTAGATTGCGGCAACACACGTTGAGACACTTATCAAACCTATTGAAAGCTGACGGGCGCCGTAAGGCTACTTAAAATAAAGCAGAAAATAACAAGCCAGAGTCAGTAAGTTGACGTTCACCTCTTACGCTTCTCATCAAATAAATGTTTCTTTTCACAGAAAACAGAAATCAACTTCCATTTCTTGTGTTGAATAGGATGGTGAGAGATCTGTGATTGTGCCTACAATGGTGGATTACCAAAGCATAGTGGGCTGTCTTGACAACGAACTAAGTGTAGAGTCCCGTTTATTTGTGTTTGTCGCGAAGTCGCAAAGAAATAAAAGCCGAATTAGTGTTGATTTGCACAAACCTAAGGCCACTTTTCTATAGTCACGTCTTCATGACTGTTATTGGAGGAATGAAAATGATTGCAGCAATGACCTATGTGGCAAATCGTCTTTCATAATGACACACGATAAATGGATAACCGAAACACAGTGGAAATGGGCCACATGGCCGATAAATCAAGATTTCACGTACCATCCCTGATAAGGTGTGCGGGGCACAGAGGAAAAGACGTGTGTGAGGGCAAACGGTCGCTGATTCAGTTTATCGGCCTGCCAACCCTGCAGCACTGGCACTGGCCACACACTGCATACCCCAAGGAGCCAATCAATAGTAAATGAAGCGTGGAGAGCCAACCGGCAGTCGGCCTTCGTCTGAGCCAATGAACGAGCGCCATCCTTAGGCAAACAACGCCGTTCTGCCAAGCAGGCCACACCTATCTAACGTAACGTGTTCCAACCTCTGTTTTTACTTAGACGCTTTCCTTGCATCGACATCTATTCACTATCATACCAAACACCAACGCATAAGGAGTAACTGCATCAATGGGTTTTTAGTCATGCAAGGTAAAAACACTGTCACTGATTTGATAACTGCCGCTAGGCAGAATTTTATGATGCTTTGCTCACACTGGCCTGTGCATTTTTCCCCTCCACGTGATTAGCCCCAAATTTCTGTAAAACATGCAAACAAAGAGTGTTTTTAAACTCGTGCAGAGTCATGCACACGAAAAGGGTTGTATCCCCACCTACGTCAAACTTTAATCGGGTTAGACATTTTAAGATGAAGATTTCCTTCAATTTGTTAATCTCTCGAAGAAGCAATCCATTACTCTAGCAGATGTACAAGGAAATGGCGAAGTGTGGTGCCTCACTTCGCAAAATGCATAGAAAATGTGGCGTCCCGAGGACATATCGATAAACACTTGGGCGGATCCACACTTTAAGCCTGTGTTGAGAGGTCTGGTGAGCAGATGCGTCTTCATGGAGCTTCCTACTTAACAAATTTATCGTAGACGATGCTGTGCCGAAGCAGGTATATTTGAGGCTAGGATTTTGTTTTGTGCACACTCCAAATTACTACATTGGGCTGCGGTTTGCAGAGCTGTAACTGATATATGTCGTATCAATTGTTTCACTGAAACGAACTAGTCGTTTGTAATTTCAACAGTCTTTACATCTTTACAGGATCAAATATGTTTTATATCGCAAAACGAAGAACCCAACATAAACTTTGGGATCTCGATAAAATAATAATTTAATCAAAGCTATGGCGACTAACACTCGCCACTCATCGAAGAAGTGAGATTGATCACTTCACTGAGGTTAGTTTAAGGTCACCACAGTGATGCTTTTGGGAGCCAATTGCATTCAGCACCAATATTTCCAACCAAATTTAGTGAATTATAGTAAGGCCAATCGTTTATGTCGGCATTTGATGTCGAAATCATCGTTGCGATGAGCATTTTCGAGCAAACTAAGGTGAATTCCCTCACCTCCTTTGTTACCTTGTGGTTTTCAGTAACGTTTTTCAAACAAATCTTTCAATGCTAGAACAATAGTCTAACATCCAAACGCCAGTAACCAAAAATGCTTAATAACAGCATCTTGATGGTGACTTGTGCCCAACTTCATGCTCATCGATACGCATTTTATGCTACCTAGCTGAATTCATTAGCACCAAAGTCTACCCTGGAAGATTTTAATGGATGACCTTTCAGAGGTAGCCCCATGTAAATGTTTATTCAGGTACGAAAGTTGGAAAAAGATCTTAGGACTACGTATTTGCCGTTTTTGTATGTTGATTGGTTTTAATTTAATGTGAGCCAATTTTGGTTCCTTCCCATGCACGACGCTCTTCTCCTGTATCTGCTGTTATGCTAATGACTCCCCAAGACTCGCTATGACAACCAAAATTCATTAAAACTGAATGCACCTACAATGGCTATTGTCCATCATAAACAAGATTGCTTGTAGAGCGAAAGCACACACACAAAGGTCCGCTGGACCTTTTCTGAACTGCTAGGCCATTGCCCTAACAACTGGTCCTGAGATGCATGTGCTTGGTATGGCCTCATCTCACCTACCCGTAAGTTATCCAAAGAACGCTTTCTAGCAGAAACAGCGCTTCCACTACAATGGCATCCAATTCCTCTTGCCCACATTCGCCATCTAGAGAAGAAAACAAACGAATATTTTTGTCAATAATGTCCCTTCCATCATTCTCCTTCAGAGGGCTTTTCGGATTTGCCAACAAAAAAAACCTTTGCAAAGCTCTTCATCATTGCTTGTGTAAATATTTTGGCTTGATTAAGGCGATCAAAAGCTAAGAATAACATCCATACGTCCAATGATGCACATTTTCTCACTGTTTGAGGCTTTATACCAACTTGCAGCGGTGGTCCCGATGATGAGAAGCCGGATAGACAAATGATTAAGCCTATACTATACTGCTCAAGCAGTATAGTATTGCCTAATCACAATGAGCCATCTAGATCGCGTATAATTCACTCAGTGGCGTTGGTAACTGATATTCCAAATGGATTTAAAGCCCACCTCTTCACCTTTTGGAATGGCACATGGCACGTGTTTTGACAATTCAGTGACCGTAAGGTGAAAAACTTTACTGTGTTAGTGATTTGGGTTCCCGAATCGTTTGTGCAACATAAGGAAAGCAGGAAACTGGGCAACACTGAGTGGGTTGCAAGTGCTTTGACGACGCATCCGCTGTTTCGAGCACGTTTGCTCTAGCCAAGAGTCCATTTGTTCTTCAGTGCACTCGGCTATATGCTAGAAAAATGGCTTATAAAGCAAAAAAATGGACACAGCTAGGCCCTGAGCAGTCAAGAAAATGACCTGCATTACCGAAAACCTCAGAGTCCCTTGGTAACCCCTAAAATCGGAGGAAAAATATCCCATCTTACGTTTGTATGCACTGTACGTGGATCAACAGTCTCCTTGAAATGATGTGAAATACTCCAAAGAAAAATTCGGCTTAAGAATATTCACTGCAATTTTTCGGGAACCAAAACAAAGCACTCCAAAACTTGAAATAGTCAAAAGGAACTGAACTAAAGAATGCATAATATCATAATCAAAATGCAGATCCAATAACAAACCTTCAGGTGGAGGAGTGCATTGGTTTTGGGTAGGGTGAGGTGTGGTCGTGTTAACTGCTTTGTACAGACCTAAAAAATTTGAAAACCTTTACACTTTTACCTTTGCTATCTGGTGAAACTTGTAAGCTCACGGGGAATGAATTAATGGGAGAGGTTGAATGCCCATAAAGAAGCCTTAATATACAGAGTACTACTAAAAAAAGCAGTTAATGGTGACAAAGGTGGCTAGCTTAACATTACTGCATCTAACGACTTTTTATGGATCATGTAGCTCTCATTTTTAAAAAGATTTACCTAATATAATGAGGTTTTGATCTCGCATGGCGACTGGAAATCCTACGAATTTTGTGAGCACTTGCCAAATGTCTACTTACAATTTTAAGTAAAAATGTGCATTGAATGGAATGATAGGGTTTTGGACAAGGGAAAATGAGAGCATAATATTCGAAAGCATGATAGAGTATATGCGCTACTCGGAATAACACACCTTACACTTTTAAAACATCAACAGCACACAAATGGACATTGAAAAACCTCCCTCACATTCCTTGAAGTCCATGGGAAACTCAGATTAAGCAACCTTTAAAGCCCACGGAATGCTCTTTGCAAATGGCTCAATATTTACTAGTTTGGTAAGCAAGAATATATATTAACTGATCCAGGAACAGTACTCAATAGTCACATTAAGCATAAAAATACTTTCATGGAAGCATTTGATTGTCCTGAGGTTACGACAAGGGCAACGCTGGCACCGTTTGTGCAATTCTAATCAAAAGGCGACTCGTGGAAGCAGCCTGCGCAAAGGAGATGTCAAAACCACTAAAAACTTCCGCATAGTGAACAAAAACTCACTTACATATCGTCAACTTCTGGAGCTCAATAAGGTGAAGTACAATTTGCCTTAAAAAGCCTCTCCTACTTAAACTCCTCCTTGTGGTTTTTCGGTAGGAAGACAGTCGCGGTGGTCAAGCCGAAACCCATAAGCACCGGAATTAACCTTTGGAGTTAGTAGAGCATTGTCAGGCTTTAAATTACGAAGACCAAGTCCAATGCGAAAGAGCTCCTGAAGCTTACTCACAACGTCTCCAATGGCGCCTCGCGCTTCTTTCAATCTACAGACTTCCGCAAGCTTTGGGGTTTTCAGGTACTCTGTGCAAATCCTCTTCCTACCAACGCATGGAAAATGCTGCAGTTTTTATCTTCAGGTTAAAAAGGAACAAAGTAGTCTTCGAGATGAAGGCCTGGTTTAATGTACCAGGGCTGATTGATGCTTAGTTACGGGGAGGCAGAAAAGAGGATTTTTGTGCCTTCTGGGACTTATATGCATTTTATCTGCATTTAACGTTTTTTTAGTAGCATTTTCTGCCAAATAGTGAATCTGCGTAATAACGCACATATCAGAGCGAAACTTTCACAATCCGAACAAGTCAATAAAACTGAAAACGCTTCAGTGAAAGAATGAATGAAGTAGGCGAACCTACCTATAAGGAGGGCGTTTTGTACCAAGAAAACCTCCCGTCTCCTCCTCTTGGAAGTGCTTAGACTCAACACCAGCAAAAGGGTGTAAAAAAGACAAACCTGCATGCAGTGAACTAGTGCTCTTGTCAATCCATGGCACCTGCGAAAAGAACGCAGGCACAACCAATATCCGCGAACCAACTGAGGTCGAATTGTACTGAAAAAAAGAGAAATTTGTGAATATTTTATAGATTGATAAACCTAATTTGCTACTTCAATTAGAAAGCATGTTTCAAAACATCAGAATAGTAACTTCCTGCAACCTAATAGCTGGAATAGAACCAGTCCATCTATTTGAAATACATAGCCCTCCACTGTGAAGTCAACTCGTGATCCGGACGAGTCTTGAAGTAATTTAGAAGAACGCGACCAGTAGGAAAAAGTTTGATAGCAAATTAAATATATAGATACAGCTGTGCAAAAGAGATATTAACTTCCTCCAGATGACACTTAGCCAGACTAACAATTGAAATAGCCGTAGGAACACAAAAAGTTTTATAAGCAACACAATAAAATGCATCCAGGCTCATTTCGCAACGAGTTATTTTCATCTACGCATTGAAATTTATAGGTTGCCCCATAAAACACACTTCGCCGATGACAGAAAGTGAAGCATGGCATAAACTTGCCAACGAATGCAGTGAGGTGGCAAAACCCCAATACAACCGAACCCCTGACCTATGGACAATATTTAGCTGCTGCAGGAGGAAATGTTTCCTATTCGAGTACAAGAAAGGCTTTTTAAATGAAAGGATTAGTTCAGACATGCCAATTATGTAAGAATCATAGACGCGAAACCACTGACGGATGCAATCCTATCCTTCATTGGATTTAAATTCCGCGCCACGGTGTACACAGTCACACATCTGTGTATATATGCAGAGCCGTGACGCCGTAAGAAGTCACAGTAGAATAGCAGAAAGTATACTTCTAACATACAGAAGGGCTGAGAGACCACTGGAATCACTTGAAGACTGTACCGCCGAGCGGAAGCACAGCCTACAGAGACTTGAGCGCCCGCGTGGTCAAACCTCACGCATATGCACATGCATACGGGTATACACGGTGTACAAAAATAATGTTTTTTTGTGGGCACGGGTGGTACTGACAAAGTAAAACGCAAAACACAATGTGAGTTCAAATAATTCAAATAATACTGCGAAAGGCACGCCCCATGTTGTAGCGCCATTTAAGAGAAAAGTTTTGGTTACACAACTGTCTGAGCTGTAGTTTTCCGTGTCTTGTTAATTAAGAGCGTTTATAAAATGCTACTTCTTGATGTTTCATCATCCTTAGCTTTATCTTTTGCTCCTTCCAAAGGTCGCTAATTCGGCTTGGAAATATGTCATTCATCAAGACGTTTCACATGGATGTCAGTGAAGTAGACAAATTATTGTGTTCTAACACTTTAAGATCTCACGAAGCCATGATTAGTCGAAATTATATGGTGGAACATAAAATTACTAAGGTACAGAAGAATTGAGAGACTAAATTCATGCCCCGAAGACCATGTCGCAGAATAGAATTACAACAACCTGAAGAAAATGAAGTGCCCACCTAGTGCGGCAGCCAAAACAAAGTATCAAAGCACAACAGCACCACCTTATAAGACCTGACTTTTATGACTGAGCAAGCCAATTTTTTTGAATGTGGGACTTTCTTCAAAAGCACAACATATAGGCACAGAATGGCAGTCGATTATACATTCAATAGACTGCAGTCAATTTTTGCATTGTCTCAGCATTCCAGAGTGACAGTATTATCGGCTCAAAGATTCTTCACAAACTTTAAAAGCTAATATCGAATCGAAAAGAAAAACCTATACACTTAATTTATTCGTTACGTATATTTGGGAGCATAAAATCTACACAGTGACAACATATTTTACTTTATCATCCACCGAGTTTTTAAGATTTTCACCTTCTGAGTAACCCTTGTAACCAACGGGCCTACCAGAACAGTATTCGACAACTCCCTTAGTTTCTAACAGTCGCAGCTGTTCTCATTGTAAGGTGCCACATGGTTTGGTAATAAAAGTGGAGGCCTTAAGAGAACTTTGCAGACTGGAGCAGGAAAGCACTAGTCTGATAAGGTCAGCAACTTCATTGAAGCAGCACATGTTCAGCGTGGAGAAAGCAGTTTCGCAAGGTGAAGGCACCAGGGCACACGTCATCATATGCACACCATGACCTGAGCATTGTGCTATTGCCTTTTTGCTTTGCGTTCCCCTCCTAACACTTTTGCTATTCTGCATCTTTGACTGCAGTTTTCTTTCTTAGTAATTGGGTACATTTAAATCACTAACGGGACAGTAGCAGACAGCGTAATAAACCTTTAGCTTAATAATGCCTCTTGCGAAATCGCATGTCTTCATTACGTCAACTCGCATACATTAAAACATATTTTAGGATTCTTTAGGGCCTCAGGGGTACGCCGGTCCCCTGTAAACGAGTTAGATATTGTGCTACTTTTACCTAAAATTTACTTGTTTCTTTTCCACCTAAAATTTAAACCTTACTCTTCTTGGTTGGTCATCAGTTTGGTTTGATAATTGCTGCTTCGAGGGCAATGCTGTTGAGCCAACTTTTTACTGGAGGCTTATTTCCGCCTTTTCAGTCACGGTATCGTCATGTCCCTGAAGGTGGCGCAAACTTAGCGACTAAGGTACTTTTTGGTTTATGTCCTAGCTTCAATGTTGCATTTTTTCACTGTCCATGTCCCGTTCCTTTTTTTTTTTCCATTTTTTACTCTAATTTCGAGTGCTGTCTGGTCAAGCGAACCTGCCAGGATGACGAGCGTTAAATTAGGTGCAGAATTTGATTTTGCAAATTACAAAGACCGTTCCAAATCATTTAATAGGGTTGAACCGCATCAGAAATAAAGGCAGATGGAGAATGCAATGTGGGAAAGCCCGAGGGCTAGAGACGTAGCCAGTTTTGGCACATTTGGTGTGCAGATCAAAAGGTGATTGATGAAATTCACCGATGACCACTACACACAATGCGTGCCAATCAGCATGAGAGCGCATCAAGAACGTTAAGCCTTTCGGTTAAATAAATATGGTTGAGGCATGGTACTTATTCGGTTCTCCCTTCCACTAAAAGAAAGTGCAAAAATTTTGATTAGTACGCTTTATGATTGTAATTTTTTTTCTAGTTTTCCACAATTATTACCGGTGTCTACAGCGTACTTCATTAGACACGGCTCTCCACTCACGATTTCAAACACATGTGTTGAACAACCCGACTGATGACCAGGTAATGAAGCAAATTTTGAGACTGGCAACCAAAATCACCGTCCCTTCTTTTGATAACAACGATGGTGTGGTTTATTAAAATAATCAATTTGCATATTTTAAAGGGAACTACATAAGTCGGAATGCCTGACTGCCCCAACAAAATTTTAAGAATAAAATGACAAGATAGAAAATCTGTCTTCATAGATTGTTAGGGAAATTCAAGATTGCTTTAGGGAGATATCTCTCTCAGATTCGGCCGTGGAAACCATTTTAGCAAATCTTTGACTGATTTGCAATGCATTTTAAAATGAAGGCTTATCGTTGGTTATGGCTTATGGGTTTCTTCTCGGATCTTTGAGATGTCCCATTTGGATACCCTTCGATAGTGATCGTAATATGGCCGTACCTTCCAGTAAGTAGATGCATAAACAACGAATATTTCTTGGATTGGCAGCAGGATTCGCCAATCAGGTGTGTGTGGTTGACCTGCAGTCAGTGACTGAATGCACGTAGGTCAGAAGGGGCTACAAGAAGAGTGAAAGTTGGAGGGATCTGACGAGTCGGAGCTCGTTCAATGATACCATAACCTTTTGCAACGGAGACCCATAGGCCACAGCTGGCTTTCATTCAGGGTAATGATGGGTTAATGTGCAGCTTACATGGGTGTTTATTCACAGATGGATGAGGATCCGCATTTTTTGGCTTTTAATGATGGAACCATGCCCTATCGCCCTATCAATAAGACTCTGTTCCACACAGTTATGAGGCTTCAAAAATTCCTGGGAGGTGTTTATGGTTCCAGATTGAATATTTGTACTCCGAAACACACCTATCTTATTCAAGAATCGTTTCATCAGCTGCCTCAATATTGCAGAGAAATAGAACATACCTTGGGCCTAGTTGGATGGCACATATTCCCGAGTTTACGTGTTCTTAATACCTGATAGCAGTCTCATTTCTAAAGTTGGTCTCAAAAGCCACCCAGACACAAGCTGTTGGATTCACTCGATACACTATTATCTGAAATAAGCGCATAAACTATTTATTTGTTTATTGTACTTCTCATTGATCTGGTACTGTTCGCTCTCTTAGTAATGATATAAGCAATAATACTCTTGTCAATGCGACAAAGTGACTACATTGCTTTGGCAGAGCCGCGTCCTAAACAATTTACAATAATTAAATAATAATGCAGTGCAAATTATAATCCATAACACTTTAAAACTACAACAAATGTTAATTGATTAGCCTCATCATCGTTTGGTGAAATGTGAAAGACGAAGTTGATGCGATTCAGCATTTAGTAGCCTTGCAATTTCTTTTAATGGGTAAAGCCTGTAGGATCGCTTTATTTGGTAGAAGCCAAGGAAGCCGCTATGCAGAGTATCCTGTTCCGTCGCTATCTCCTCTGGATGACATATGGTAACTTCGTTTATGTGTACTCAGAGGGGGCCATCTTTTCAGATGTCATTAACTTTCAGCTAGCTGCTTGATGTCCCGAGTGAAACAATCGCCTACGGTCGTAGGGTGCGCTTTACACCGGCAGACCAGACGCGCTGGCCACGCCAAAGTTCGAAATGATCCAGTATTTGAGGCAGAAAAGACGAATTGTCATCACGGCATCAAAAGGGAGCACTAAACCCTGCTTATTTAGCCGATTTTTACGGTCATTTTGTGTGGCGCCTCGAGGCTTCTCTGAAGGCGAAAAGACATAATCCTCGGGCAGAATGTTTTTTTTTTGACATACAATAGGGCATGGGGCCACTGACATGGCCCGAAGACCAGGCCGCCTGAAAGCGATACAACAGCAGAGCCCCTAATTGGTCTGTTACCAAAACTGAGAGTTAAATAAACAATTAACCTGTTACATATTGAATAATCAAAGCACAAATTCTTATGCGCGTATGATAGTACCGCTAGATTTCTTCTTTTACGTGTCTTTGGTCTCCGTAAATTAAAGCAACTCGTGATTAAGGGCATGGCAATTGGACGGACTCATATGAGGATGGGTTTATTACATGGGATATCATCTTGGGATACATTCATTAGTTGGACTGCCACAGTAGTGGCGATAGAAGTTCGCATTCAGTCATTGTCATTCAAATCGAGGAGAAAGTTACATGTATTATGCTTATTATTAAGTGGTTTTTTAACTGATCGTGGGCGAAAAATTAACATGACGAGAGCCTAAGTACCTATGATATGAATGAGCTACTCAAATGACCATATCATGGTTAAATAGCATTCCCATATTTAGATATTTCCCCAGTATCATGAAAATGACTCGTCGCGATGCTGAAGGCGGTAGTCAGTCCCAAGAATCGTGGTAAAGTTGGGTGAATATGGGAAATGTAGGACTGCCAGATTCATACAATTTTGCACTTCAAATTTCACAAACGCCGTTGTTATTAGGTTTTCGGTCACATAAATGGCTTTTTCCTTCAACCACTTTAATAATTACTGGTAAATTTTTCGCTGCAGACAAATTATTGCTGACTTTTATCAAACGCTTAACAATATGCATCTGGCTGAGATAAAATCGAAATGGTCTTGCTTCACAAGGATTGGATAAGATTCATCGAATTCCAATGGAAACACAGTTGTCACTTAACGAATTTCTTACTTTAGACTACTCAGATTCGTTTAATTTCAATGTTAGTTTACAGAACTGTGGTAAAAAGAAAAAAAATGTATTTCTGTTCCCTAAATTTTATGTATAAAAAGAAGTTTCAATGAACCAGGATTTAAGGGAGATAGCTTTTTGCAGTATTGCTTAGGTAATGAAATGGGTGGTAAGTATAGTTAAGAGCTCCTAAAACATATCTGGCATGATTTTGGCGTAAAACACTACCTATTAAAACAGTTATGGCGCAAATCGTTTTCCTTTTTAGAGTACAGATCAGAGAACCACTTGACCATTGCATAGAAAAATGAATCAGGCTTGGTTGCAGCATTGAGAGAGGAGCCTAACGTGGGGTAACTTGATTTCACTGCAGATCACATGTCTTCCAACACCCCTAGACCTGCCTGACGCCGAAAGATGGCATAATATTTTGGCAGAATATATGTATATTCTACCTACAGAAGGTACAATAGCCAAGACACAAAGTGGTCCATAACCAAAACCGAGAGTTGACCAACCAACGCATTGAAGTCTCGAATACTTCCATTAAATTTTACCTAATTTGAGCAATCTAGGAAGGCGATGTTTTCACTGACAAACAATTTTATAAGCAGTAACAAATTTATCACACATGCATTACAACAAATTAAGGGAGATCGTGCTAAGTAATAGCGCGGATCCCGATAAATGCAAATGCATATCAGCCACCTGTGGACGGGAGCGTTTGAATTTACAGAATAACGGCTTTTGTTAAAGGTTCCATAAGTATTTAATAAGGTGATTGTTCACATCTCGATTTTTGTGAGGAGCCAATCTTCACTTGGCCTTTGTACCACGCAGGGTAGGGTGGCCTTCGGGCTATGCCAGTAGCCCAAACACCTCATTTGCCGAGTATATATCTTCTGCCCTAGTATTACGTCTTCCTTCGTTTTTAGGGAAGCCTGGGGACGCTACAAGTATTATTTATTGCGAATGAGTTCTAAGCATTTTACAGAGGAAGAGCAAATCAAACTTAAGCACCGACCTTTTCTTCTCATTCACTACTGTCTTTGGTAGTTGTGATTCATTCCACAGGTAAATCGATTAAAGTTAGGTGAAAAGACACTCTTAAAACTGTTGTGTAGTACTTTGATAGCTTATTTAACCCAAAGTATTGACACACGGGCATATAAGGCCCCACCATTATGCTTGCTCTCGGCGGCATGGCCTTCGGGCCAGGCCAGTAGTATCTTAGCCCTGCTGAGTCGGGAACTAGGGTTGGTAATTATCATCACGAGTGTTCATTGCCAGCATTGTCAATGCCATACCAAATGCATTTCAGCTAATAACCGAGCCTCCAAATCATTCGTATCTGAATAGAAACTAGCATAAATTAATACAAAGCTATGTAGTTGAAAGCCAGACTAAGCCACCACATACTATCGCCGTATATGGGCATGCTACATGCCTACATGCTCTTGAAGACAATTTTGAATGAGGGAAGCATGCAATTATGCAAGGGACCCCTTTCCAAAATGTACATATTGTGATATTTTAAAAACAGATTCAACTAATGGCCTGAGGGAGATACTTTTTTTATTTTTTTAGACGTCTCCTTGCAGCCCGTCATCTATACATTTGTGTGACTTCAAATTTGCAGGAAACTCGAAAATTAACTTTCACATACTGTACTCTTATATTAAGCATTTCAAATATTGAACCACCTACTTAGTTAGTATGTGCAAAATTGAATATGTTAAAAGCTATGGTGACTTGTTAATTGCCCACAATATCGAAAGTCGTTAAAATGTTCTGATCAGGATTTCTTACTGATTGGACAAATCCGTATAAATGAATTTTCTTAGTATTCGTTCATTCATGACCTTAGCATGCTCTGACCCGAAGTATCAATTTCAAGAGCAAATTTGGCTATCGGGGTCCACTGTCCAGTATGTACATCGGGTGTGTTATTCATGGCCAGTGAGAAATGGCTTGTGTTGTTAGGATCGCACGCGTTGTGGGCAATGTAAGTGGTAACTCTAACAGATCACTGCCTAGAAGACATCTGGAAGGCAGATTAAATATGGCATTTGATTAAGTTTGATTGTGAATCCAGTGTTCGCCGTGGTTCTTTATTTCCTTTAAAGGACAGCCTATTTAAACTTAAACAGATGGCCTTATTTCCCATCAAGTAAATGGCACCTGAGGTGTTACTAATCAGTGCTTTTCGGTTTAAATGCTTCATTCATAAGTTAATGATTTTGCGTGCCACTGCAAGGCGTCCATCTGTGTCATCCCTGTTTTACATTTAATTGTAAATCCTGTCGCCACTGGTTTTCCCAATAATAAGTCTCTTCAAATGAACATTTCACATTAATCTATAAATCGTTGTTCATATGCGAATCATTGCTTAGTACTCTCTTACCTAAACATATACTTTGTATTTGTTGTCCTGATCACTCTTCCCTATTTTATTATATCAAATCTATACCGTACTTCACAAAAGTACTCGTATTAAACAGGAACACGGAAATCAAATTCCGGTTGGGCTCTTTGTGGTCTATTGGTACCTTATCGTCTATTTACACTATTTCAGCTGGCTACTTACAGTGCTCGTGCCATTTTGGTTCACGTTCGCTTCTCGGAGTGCACAAGTTCACTTTATTTCGGACTTGCAAATTTGCCACATCTGGGATATTAAAATACTCCTAAAAATTTTTCAAATGAAAATGATGGTGAAAAAAGGAACAGAGAACGGAACCCTGATATTCAATCACATGCAAACTATTGCCTTTTTTAGCGGGTCTTTGCCTTCCTTATATTTCAGAGGTCCCATGATCTTAAGTGATATAGTGGATGTGAATTATACACAGAGGATCATTTGTTGTGTCTAATTATATCGTACGCTTGGCTTAGGTGAACCGATTACTTGAATTACTAAATGAATGTCGTTGAATAGTGCCTAGTTAAACGGACACATAATTATTGTCTGTGATTTCTAGAAGTGGATTGATTCGATAAGGCTCAATACTTTTGGTCGCACATTTTCCTTGTTCAATGGATTCTCTCAACTGGATTTTTTGCCCCCTGAATATGTTATGCCTCTCTCGTCAACTCACAATGTGTTGATCGTACAGCCAGGTGAGTCATTTCATGGTTTCATGTTATTCTTTTCTGGATACTTTGAAAACTATTCATTCGAAGCTCAATACGATAAACAAAATTGTATCTGTCTAGTCGTACAGAAGGCTGAACTCCGCCGTCAACTTGATCTGAATGCCAGCTCGGCCGGTGCCATGGAGTTGGGTCAGATGGTGAAAGGTCCTAACGAGCAGGAGGCGCGATCCCTGGTGGATTCGTTGAATGGATGGACGGTAGAGGATGTGGTGAGTGGGAAATAGATCGTGTCATTGCCTCAATGCATTCCCCTTCAGGTGTACATGAACGTACGATCCGGAGGACTGCGCAATGACCAGTTCTTCTCCAAAGGAGTGTGGCATGATCTCACTGCCCTCGTGAAGCACCGTCTGATGCCATCGTCCGACGAGTCCCGCCAGCCCATCACCGCCATCTTTGTCAACTGGCGGCAGCTCAGAATCAATCAGCTCATCGAGATGCAAAAAACCTGGCGGTGTCCCGTCTTCGATCGGTATGTGGACGCTCGTTTGCCTCGCTCATAATACAACTTCAAGTTACCGAGCTCGTAATAATACCCAACCTCATATCAGTTTCATATCCAAAGTTATTGGCATACAAATCTCATAAATTGGATTAAATGTATCATGAAATGTACGCTACTTTGTACCCGCGTTTTTATCTCCTGCATGCTGACAAAGTCCAGACATTTTGGTTGTAGCCTAGCCTTTCATGATCAAAGTGTTCGCGTTTCACCCGTAAATCTGCAAACAATACCTATTGTCCTAAGGCGTTTATTATTTTGGCAGTTTCCGCTCAACTGCTTTATCCACCCTGAAAATACTTTCATTGGTAAAACGAATGACGAAACATCAAATTACCTTTTTCGGCCTGCTCTTTCTTCGAACTTGGTATTTTTTGCGTCACATCCATTCTTCTAAAGATTATTTCCTAAATTGCTCTCATTTCAGACTTGTAACATTGGTACTTTAATTAGTAAGCTCGTGCTAGGCATTGGGTTTCTCAAATGGCGCTTATGCATAACTTGACTCATTCTACGATCTTTTCGTTGAAACTGTGCCATCTCCAAAATAATTTGTGATTTAATAATTCAGTTTTTTGGTTCTATTTTAACCAGTTGGAGGGACTTAATAAGGCCCTTCATTACAGTAGTCGAAGAAAGCACTCAACGCTGCTGAAGCAAAAGTTGGTTGCATCTCCAGCAAACGAGTATTCATCAATCAAAGCAGGTGTTGCTGCAGAATGCCGGTAGAAGTTCCATACAGAAAAATTCGTGAATTTTAGATAAACCATCTCTCACTTCGGTAAGGGTTAATTTGAGCTACAGAGTTGCCGGGACTGATAGCTAGAACTGGGTTGGCAGGCTATGTGAACTAAATCAAATGTGTGAGGGGGATTGCAGGTACACGCTGGTGGTGCAGCTCTTCCTGTTGCGCGCGCGGTCCCGCGTGGCACGGGCACAGGCGCAGCTGGCTGAGCTTAGCTTCGTGCGCAGTCGCCTCGCAGCCGACGCTACCGCAGCTTCTGCTAGGGCTCCCTCAAGGGTGCGTAATCTCGACCACCTTCGGCGAGTCCTCGATGTAAGTCTTCCCTCGAATGTGCACTTAACTGAAAAGACGCCTTTTTTAGACTGCGAACTCTGCTTCAACAAAACATTGACTGGTTTACTAGTTTGATTTCCTAAAAATTTATTTTCTATACACTGTTACCATCTTCATCATTGTTTATCCCGATACCTAACGATTTCAAGTCAGTTAGTGGTAGAACAGTTGCAATTTATCTGAAGGAACAGAAACACAAACTGACGACAATATTAATGGAAGAGGAAAGGCGAAAAGAGCTCAATAGGACAAAGCGCCGCCAAAGAACGCTTAATCGACTCCCTGTGGTAGCAGTCATTGGGTACACGAACGCCGGTATGTGCCCATCCATTTCGTTCTCCTCGTCAGTATGGTTTATTATCATTTCTTCATTCTGTTGATTTTAGGGAAGACCAGTTTAATTCGAGCCCTTTCGGGATGTTCGAGAATGATAGCCTCTCCACGGGTGTTTACCACCCTCGATGTGACCCATCACGCTGCTCGCCTTCCTACACCCATTGACGTCGGAAGTGAAGGTGTCGGGGGCGTGGGAACCCCTGGACTTCGACTGCTCCTGCTCGACACTATCGGCTTCATGGCTGATCTCCCCCGGGACCTTATCGCAGCCTTTAGGGCCACCCTCATTGAATGTCTCGATGCTGTTAGTCTGCCCTCTACCACGTTCGCTGCCAGTCGAATATGTGACGCCACACTTATCTTTTCTTACTTAAATGTGCGACCTATGTTCTGGATCAGTTTACAATAAGTGGTTGCACCAGCTCGTGTCGCAGACAGACTGGTTGAGTTCAAAACAATAAATAATGTTCAAGGCATTTTTGGCCTAAGGACAATTACCGCATTTATTTCATAGTTATATCCACCAAAATTAACGATAATGTGTCTTGTTCGAGAAATAGAACGTTCGAGCTGTGGTGGTCAATTTCCTCTCATCCTACTAGTGAACTTGTTAACGTTTTACATCGGTAAAATAACTGTTTTGAGAGCTTTCCCTGATCATAATCTAATGCCCAAGCCATGCTTATCGTTTTTTTAAAATATTTAAAGACAGTTTTACAGCTAAACTAGTGGTTTGTGTAACCTACACTTTAGGGAGTCGAGACAGAAGCCTTATTTATTCATTACAATGGCAGAAGTAGAACCCTTATTAAAGGATCTAGGCTCTGTTTGGAGCCTTAATGTATCTTCCTCTGTGCTTCAGGAGATAATCCTCCATGTAATTGACGCCAGTAAACCAAACTGGCAGAAGTTTGCAGCCTACATCGAGCGTGTTCTTAGAGATGGGGGAATCCATGTCCGACGTCCAGGTGAGCTGGCGCCGACAACAGACAGGCAAGGCTGTATCTCTCCCTTCCTCATTCGCATTGGCAACAAGTTGGATCTCGGGTGAGGCAGTTTCTATGCTCCTCAGTTTACTTCTGTCTCTACTGTCCCCCTACCGTTAGTTTATTTTTGCTTATGTATAATATGATCGTGAAAAAAAAGTATTTGTTGGTCTGCGTTACCGTCAAATCATTCATATTTCTTGTTGTATCATACGTGAAATCAACAGAGCAATGCAGTTTTTGTAAATGCTACCTAGCGTACGCCAAATTTTTATACAGCTTTATCTTACGATTCTTCAGGTTCCCTCTTGATTTCCGTTTTTAGCATTATTACTGATTCCTCTTTGAAGTCTTCCTCGATGCAACTTGATGTAGAGGTGTCCTGTATTCGTAATACCGGTATCGTCGAACTCGGCAGTCTTATCGAATCCTGCCTCATTTCTGGTTTCGGCTGGTCCAAACGAAAACTCCGTATACCACAGGGCAGTGAAACTCTTAGGTATTTTTTGTGTCTTCCATCTTTTGCCTTGGTTTTGTCAAATCGAGTATTTTAAAGTATACATGATCCGAATCAGGGCTGAAAGCCTTTAACCCCTTTTTCCTATTTCAGATGGCTTTATGCTAACGCGATGGTGGTGCGAGTGTCAAGTTGTCCTGAGGACGCAGAGAAACTCATCTGTGAAGTGATCTTCAACGAGGCCATTTGGAATCGTTTTAAGTCACAATTTGCATCGATTTTGTGCAGCAAATAACTTCCTTTTGACATCATCTACTTTCTGGAGCTGTACATTGCTTCCTGCTGTCTCAATTTTGGTAATATATTTTGTAAAGAACGGGTACGATGATGAACCGTCCAGCAGGGAATTTTTAACGAATGCAAAAATGAAATTGGACTACTAATTTTCTGAAATTACTATCGTGTACAGTAGTTGGGAGTGCAAACACAACTTCTTACTCTTTTTTATGATTAGATTGAAACAATGGGAAATCTGGAGACAAGACATATGGTTTGGTGTCTTAAAACACCACTGCTTCGGCTTATACACACCCAGCTGTGTTATTCTAACGGAAATTGCTGTAGGCTACTGAGCGGTTGTTGGCCCATTAAATCGTGCCCGGCAGCGTAGTAGAGCCCGTTAAATGCTAGCGACAGTACTGAACACAAGGTTACAATGACACCGGCAGCTTAACACTGCTTCTGTCAGCTGATTTACCGGAGACTTTGGAATTGTTCTAACTGCGGAATATTGATTGGTGCGCAACTGGCTGGACGCATTCAGTCACATTGAGCTAAGAGATGTCAACTGCCAAACGTGTGCAGACTTTAAACAGCAATCTCGAGAGGAATGTAGGTGTCTCTATGGTTAAGACGCGATTTTACCACAAGGCAATCGAACTGGAAAAAGAAACTAACTTTACGCGGATAGAAATAGAGGGACTGCTGCGCATATACGACAAGGTTGTTGTGAAATACCGTTCTCCCATCAATCGAACAGTGTTTAACGACATTCTCTTCAATTTCTTCGACTTCACCAACGAGGCCATGATGGAAAGGATTTTTCGAGCGCTGATGCAGTCCTCCACCAAAACCGTGCTCTCTCGCGAAGACTGGATCCACGCGTTGAACATCTTCCTGCGCGGCTCCTTTATGCAGGTGACGAACTTTGCCTTCACCGTCTACGATCATCACCAGCGCGGCCACCTAACGAAGGAAGATGTGCAGTTCTTTCTGCGTGACGTGCTTACTGCAAAGCTGCCAGAGGAGGATGCAGAGGAGCTGAAGTCCGACATGGTCGATATGGTGATAGCCCTCTTTGATAAGGACAAGGATGGAGTAATAAGTAGAAAGGACTTTGTGACCTCAGTAGTGTCGGAACCACTTCTCATAGAGGTACTTGGAGAGTGTTTACCAACGAGCAAATCCATTCTGGCTCTGGAATCTCTAATCAAACAGATTAACCGGCGGGGCCAACCATCCGAATAATTCGTGTTCGCATTTTGTGCTATTTTACAGCCTTGTACCGAACTGACGCCTAAATTGACTGCGTTTTGCAATAACTAACTTAAAATTAATGTTTTACAAAATGTACCGTCCTGATAAAAACAAGTAGAGCTATATAGGGTCGCTTTGGGTAAGGTGTGTTGAGAAAGAGAAAATGAACAATAACGAAGCCATCTGGAAAACGTGATGTCCTAAAGACATCTATTAGTTCAATTTTTTAGGACGTAAATCACGAAAATTAAATTGAAATAGAACAATTTATTAGCTGGAATAAGACTTCTACCTCAGTTACGGTATTACTGATTAAACTAAGTTCTCAGAAAAATTCGTTGACTTAATTTGTGGAAAGCATAATTCTACTCTGGAACCCGCTAATTCCTGACAAAGAATAACGACCAACTGCATTGTAGCAATGATGTGTAAGGTCGAGGTTGTGAAGCGTGAATACAATCTACGCAAACCGATATAAAACAACAGTGCAATGCCGTTGAGTAGTAAGCCTTTATTATTTGCAGTAAAATATTCCTGGGAGAAGTTCTAACTCCACTTTATTTCAATAAAAGACAACTCCTCCTTCTAAATTTACTAAAACGGGGATTTATTGAGGCGAACAAATTAACGCTTTTTGAATGGATAAGTCAATCAACAGATGCATATCATACCACTAAGCGTGACTACTGGAGTCAATTTTTTTGCACCGAGAATTCATACCGCGTCTTCTGCATGTAACACATCCCGGTTGGTGTGACGAATTGCTTGGGAAAGTTTGATCTATTGACGGCGTCTGGAAAGCCTTGCGCCTCCAAACACAGACCCGCGTGTGGCAGATAGCTGTACGTATCTTTTCCCACCGGATCGGTCTTCGGGTCTAGGTAATTCCCTGTGTAAAACTGCACTCCTAGTTGGTCAGTAAACAGCTCCAACCGACGACAGGAATTTGGCTCAACTACAATAGCTTTCGCCTCATCTGCAGGCAAATCCCTAAACACGTAGTACTCGTCAAAGCCTTGTTGTGGTGGGGGGTGAATCTTGCGGAGCCCCTCTTTCAAACACGTCAGTTGATTGAGATCTGTACCATCAACGCGACCAACTTTAACCAGTCGGCCCGTAGGAATATGTTCCGCATCGCATTCGCACATTTTGTCCGCCTGAATGCAAACCATATGGCGGTCGAGGGCGTCAGGTCCTGCGCGGTGGCCCGCCAAGTTGAAATAGGTGTGGTTTGTTAAATTAATGGGACAGATTCTATCAGTGATATTCGCAAAGTAGTCAATGCTCAGGCACACATGTTGATCCTCCTCATTCACACTCAGACGGTAAGTTACATAGGCAGTGAGATTGCCTGGGAATCCATCTTCACCATCGACCGATGTGACTTTGAGTTTCACACTATCTTTCTTCACATCAACAACATCCCAGAGACGAAACGTCAGCCCAGTACTGAAAGCACGGAAAATCAAACTTGCATACTCCAACTTCTAGAACTTTATAACGGTCCATTACTATATGCTAACCTCTACTAATCGCCCATAACTTAGAACGAAATGTGTGTTTCTAGCCCCTTTCACTTATCTGTGGGTAAAAGGTAGCATTAATAACTATGAATAATAACCGTGGCATTTTGCATAAGGAATCGGACTAGCCATCAAGTGAATGGATCAGCAGAAGTGAAAACACATCTCATGTAAGACGGACGCAAACGTACTTTCCTCCATGAAGACAATGCTTTTTCTGTTGATTTTTAGGTAGCTTGTAAGCCGTAGATATCGAAGCGTCTAGCTCAATCGGAATGGTGAATTTGGCGTTGCTGACACGCCCAGCAACTCTACCAACAATGACGCCATGGTAGGCGGGGTTCTTCTCGTAGCCAGCGATGTCCGAGTAACCGAGAACAACGTCGGCCACACCCAGATTGGCCTTTCTGCGTCCGCCGGTGTCGGTGAAGCCAGGGATCCAGAGCTGCTGGATTGCAGCGCCGTAGCTGAGGATGGTCGAGTGGACTTTCGTCCACGTCTCAGCATCCGCCCCCGTTGCAAGTTTCTCGCTCAATATTGGACTTATGGTGATTCGCTTTACAGGAGCACCACGACTCGTTCTACCCCAATCTTCCATCATTGTGATAGTTTCATCGGACACCAAGCTGCTAACTTCCTGTATGTGGTCAGCCAATCATGGGCAAAGGGCACACCGATTGGTCTGACCGTTAAGCATCGTTTACCGAGATCGTGGTTGGTAATTCGCCGTTCGTTTACAGCGGCCTACACGCACTCTAAGAGCTAAATTTCATGACTCTCGAGGCAGAAACGGTGCAACTATTTATTTAAACTTTCCTACAAGTTGTGATGCGTCATGCAAGTATCGCAAACGAAAATTCAATAGGACATCTGGACAATTTGCGCTGCTAATGTCATCGCAGATAAAGTAGAAAAGCACAGGCTCCAACAAGTGCTTAAAGTGCACCCCCTTAGCACCAACCTACATTTAGTATGTGAACTGGAAAATTCCGCATTTGGGAAGGATATGACTTCGGTTAGAACATGTAATCCAGAAGGGTTGACTTTGTGATAGTGGGTGCATTTCGTCTTAGTACCTGTATGGTATCTGCCCTCTTCTGTAGTGCTCGATCAGGGGAAGGGAAGTCAGAAACTTCTGCTTGGAGCACACACCAATCATGGATCGTATAGTAGTAATGGTGAAGGAATGATCTTGCGTTTTGGTACGGACGGCTGGTGTCTAAGTCAACATTGTATCCCAGTCGTCTAGCCATGCTCGAGTTATGCGGTCTATGACGATGCAACTGTCTACCAGGACCAAGGTCATGTCTAACCGGCACGATCGATCAGTGCACGAGCGCAAACAGTGAGGGATGAGCCGACGACCCCCACAGCTCCACTAATTCCCCCTCTTGCTATGGGTTTCTATTATGGGAATGATTTTTCATCCTAGGCTAGTTCCAAATGTTTGATTCAAGTGACGCATTGCATAAGTCCTTAATTGGCCACAAATCACTTGAGCTTTCTCAATTCTTCAACCAAATGAAAGTATTTAAATTACTTTAGCCATCCAATTTGTGATCGTTCACCGAATCTTTGGGGACTTAATCGTGTTAGAGACCCCAAATAAGTAGTTTTCAGTGACAGACAAGCAACTTTTCGGAACTATAGTTGCAGGGTAATTGAAATGCTTTTTTGCCGACACATCTGGCAATACACAATAGACACTACACCCTGTATTTCTGCTTCAAATAAATGAAACAAAAGTAACGATAATCGAGGCAAAATCGAGGCTCGTGGCTTCGGTGTGTCCAATAGAAGCTGCTCCAGGGGTGAGGGGCAGTGAAGTCACAGCTGGTTTTGTGGTCAAAGCATCTAGCATGTATATGGACGCATCAAGTAATGCCACCACACTCTTAGTCGCCTCAGAAAACCACCTCCACTCTAGCCTTTCTGAGGACTTTGCATGCCTAGACATTCCACATGGCGCAGCGGCTGTTGAAGTAAACTCACTAAATTGGAATAAAGCGGTGGCGGTCTTGAAGTAGTGGGGAAATCTAAACCTTGAATAGGAAAATTTAGTGCATCAATAGTAAGATGAATCGCCTGGGTACTAATTGGAAGGCGAAGTAAGACGGATATTGTGGTCCGCAGATTGGCATGCCACCGTGATCCCGCCTTTATGAGGCAGCGAGCGGTACTGATACCGCCCCTCTAACCAGCCTTCGAGGGGAGGCTGCATCAGTATACTGGAAGGCTGACAAGGCCAGCCACCAGAGCAATCTGCGCATCAGATAGATAGTGAAATAACCGGTCCGTAACCTCCAATCACCTAGCCAGTGTTCCCATTTTAAGTAGAGACCCAATCCTCACTAATGGTTGGCGGGAGATTCAAGAACGAAACCTCACAACCCAAACTCGTAAAACTATCAGGCGGGGAATTCCTTCACCGCAGTAAAAGGGAAAGTTTCACAATAGAAATACTACATAATCAGGTTAAGCGAATGACATTCATTAGTTTGAAAAGTGGTGCTGAAAAATACGCACACGCTAACAATATACGCATCTGAGTGTGTTGTAAGACATTCCCCTCAACTAAATAACTTCAAATACACCTTTTCTGAATATTTTGAAGTTGATCAAGACTTTAGGTACCCTATTATTTCACAAGCGCACTTACATGACAGATAGCCACAAACGCTCCACCCTGCAATGCGTGGAGAAATGTGGCTGAAAGGAATTCTCTACTCTCATCAATAGCAACGATAGTTATTAATTGGAAACTAAATTGAGCAGAATATTTGAAACCCAAGCATCGTTCTTCCCTTCCACCTCTTTAAAACCATCCGTGATGTGCGCTGATAACTCATTTCGCCATCCACAAGATGTAGATGGAAAAAAAGTGAGTGAAAACGTAATACGAAACTTCAAAACAGACGCTTTCATTTGTCGTCTTGTAACGAAACTTTGACGATTGTGTTGAGAACACCAAGGCCTTCGTTGTTTACATTGACTACTGTACAACCTGGGAGGGCAATTTGTGCCTGGACAAGCGAAACGCATTAGGTTGCGCATGGAAAATGAATGCGAAATTCACCCGCAAAAGTCACCATTGGCTTTTATTCATACCTTCATTGAAATGATGCAATTAAATTTTATTGTCAAGCTTAGTAGTCTCGCAGTATAATACCATTAACGTCACTAGCATACAATTTAATAATAAAAGAGGCACCACAAAGAGATGTTTGGACGAACGGAGATTCAACTCCTACTCCGATTCAAAGTCTAGCGTTCGACAAGCACCACTAGTAGAAGTACATTTACTTAAATTACTAAGTACAACGGTAGTTCATGCTTAAAATTTTAACGCAGCTAAGGAAACGCTCTCGCCTTAACACTGGAAATGATACATAGCTTGACTCTCTACCGATGGTTGAATAAGAATTTCGGGGGTAAATCGACGAGACCTTAAAGGATCCACAATAATAAAAAACAACTGCAATAAAGGGCAACACTTTAAAAATTCAATGAAAACAGTAGCAAAGGAAAGCCGCACGCAGATCATAATGGTTAATCGAAGGTCATTTTGATATGGTAATTCTTCACGTTTTCTTCATGATTAGTGTTCGTGGCCCTCTCGTCTCCAAACTAATGGTAAAGGACATGTATGCAACGGCAAGAAAATAAAATGAAACTTGGGATCAACTCATTGAACTCATGAACCAAGTAAAAGTCGAGTACTGATAAACAATCGTTCATGTAAACTTACCGATATGACCAAAGCCAGGGTATCGTCATCCAAGGTCCTAATAGCAGCTTTAAGAATCACTGCCTGTCTCTCCTTAGCTGGGAGAAGCTTTAAGACTGACTGCAGTTTTGGTGAACTTAAAGCCTCCTGAAAGAGGTTGACAGTTTTTGTAGACTCTGCAACATTGGCGTCCTGAGGATCTTCATCAAACAAAAATTGTACTGGCACTTTGTTCGAATAGTCAGAACTCATTAACGTAGAGACATACATCTGAAGATAGATAATTTTGACGGCATTTCCTAAATGTACGAAGAACAACTAGACAGTAAGTTTGCATTAAAGCCATGTCTCACCTAGTATACCACTTTAAAAACTTGTTAAACATCAAATAAGAATCAAATGCTGTAGTAATTAGTCAGAAAACGAGTTTGGAGCAATTTAATTGGTAGAAAGTTGATAAAATGGAAGTAAGAAGTAATGAACGGACTTGAAAGCAAAATGGTTGAATTGAGGATGTTGAGAATTGCTCTTTCAGCAGCTAACTGAGAGGACTGATAAAAATCGTAGAATTCCGGATTTCCAGAAAATGGCCCATATAGCCTCCGAGGATGACGATGCTCTATGGCTAAGCGCACCTCAACGAGGCCTCTAGTGGCTAAAAAGACAAATTGCATTTAAAATGAAAGTTACCGTTGCTTACATGTTAATTGCACAAGATTACGAAGAAGATTCAGAAAACCATTCAGCATCGCCATCGTCTTGGGTCGCTGTCCCGCTCCAAGTGAGTTCTCAAAGGAACTTCTCATACGCTGTGCCAGTTAATGGAGGTAAGTATGGAATTCAAGATTTATTAATCAAACGATCTGGAACTTACATCCAACAAGAGACGGGCAATTTCAAGGGTTTGGTTATGGGATCTCAATTTATTTGCAGAGACTGAATCTAAAAAAGAGGTTTTAAAAATTTGCCCCAAATAGCAATAAGTGCACAAAAGTTCGGTCTTGGCTTAGTAACCTAATTTGCATTTTCACTTAAGATGCGATTTATTACATAATAATATAAGGACAATGTTTTATAAGTACGAACACAATGGATTTAAATAAAATCCGGAGTATGGTACCTTCTACCCCAAAGTTCCGACTCTCTGATTCATGAGATATCTTGAAACTCAGAATATTTTTCAACAACTGAACCAAGGAATCTAAAATCAAATGGATAAAAAAATGACACCGAACCAGAGTTCAGTTCCCCAAAGTTTGTCACAATGGGCTCCGGCTGTAGAAGCGTCATATCGAACAAGGCATTATTTATCGGATCAAAATTGTTTTCGACCATTTTGAGAAAATTGATGCACTGCTTTCGGAGTTTCCTGGCTGCGTGCAAATGCTCCATTTCCAAACGTTTCTACGATGAAAATGTTTACAATTAGGGGTAACCCAAATGCTGCAGTTCCAGATTTTTGGGTAACGGTATGTATTCCAAGATCTTATTGGTGTCCAATATAAGTTATCAAGACTTTGACTCACACGATATGTTCTACGGGCATACAACACTCGCTCCTGTACCAAACGACGGCGAACATATAACAGCGGCAGCATACTTCGAAAGGACCTTTCCTCTTCTAATTGCTTGTGCTCCAATACTTTTTGCTTTTGAGCTAAAGTGTAATAAAAACGGCAAATTTACCTCCCACGAATCTAAGGTAGGATTCATCTGACAAAGAGGGAGAGCAGACAATGTCACTTGGCTTCAGTTCCTGCCGTGGAGTCAGGGCAGGGATAATGCATAAGTCGGCTGAAGCAACACGCACAATATAACTGCACGTGGCCACTTCTGAGACTTCAATAATTGCAGGTGTCGGAGTATAATATTGACAGAAAAATTGGACTTCTGTACTTCGAGGCCTCCCAGTAACGTCACAAGTGGATCCTTGGTCGTAAAATTGGCTGTGATATCTATTACGAACTTGTAGATCCTAGGAAATAACACTGTTTTGGTACACCTACAGACTTTTCAGCCTGACCCCAGTCAAAATCCTTCGCGAAAGATCCTAGGGAAGTGGAAGTCAAGACAACATCCTTGTCTTTGTGATACTGAAGTATCTCCCTTCCTATACATAGCTCATAAGTCCACCAACCAGCAAACTACCAACGTAAAAGAGAAAAAACCGCATCTCACCCAATTAAGGCAGCTAGATGTATTCCATGAGGCAAAAACAGTTTGAATGTCATCTGAGGTATTTCTGAGAACTAGACTTGGATACTTGTTCTGTTTTGTAATATTTGGTACAATGCAACTGAACTGTTGACCGGTTACGGATACAACTTCAAAGTGATTTCCTTGAACCTACAACTATGATGCAAGGAAAAATAATTAAGTGACTTCAGATAATTTGACGAATTCCCTCCTTATTTTGATATTGTAAATGGGCAAGTCGTTATCCGTCGAAACAAGCCCACATATGTAAATAAAGATGAACACCATAAACATGAAGAACCCCATCACGAACAAGCGTAACGCATCGCTGACTCCAGCAACGGATGAGCCGGCCGACCTTAAACTTAGGACAGCATAACTGCCGTGTCATATGAAATTTGATGCATGAATAAAAATTGATGGGACTAAACAAAATGTTTTGCGAATTAAAAAAAAACGAATAAGTTTTTTTAAATCAACGCTCTCGACACAGCTTTAATATCACTTTAAAAACAGGAATGAGCCAACTTTAACCCAGAAAAAGAAGACAAAGATAAATGAACTGCAACTACCTAACAAGTGCTTGAGGATCTCTTCTTTTTGAAATCGACAGCATTGTATGCAAAGGATCAAATGCATTTGAAGCAATAATTTAGCGAATCTGTGTTATGTAATGGGAGAAACTGAAATAATCACTCTCCGATGTAATTTTCCTAAGCAAAAAGCTGAATGCGCAAAAGCATGGCAAAATTTGATATGTGTTTAAATACCTTATACTGAGTACACCGACTATAAAGCCTGAGCTTGTGACTTGGTGATGGAAGAGGAGCTGAGGAAGCAGTTGGAGTTATCGTAGGTTCTGCATAAGCACTTCACTACTTAGCAACCCTGCCATTCTGCCACTCTCCGGGGCTCGGGTAGAGTGCAGTACTTGTATTGTCTGCACTGAAGCGCCTTATGGTATCAATGCGCCTCCTACAACAAAGCCTTGAATACTTCTACTATCCCATTACCATTGTCCTTAGTCTCTGGCTGGTTAATTATTACCTTTTAGCTCACTTGATATAAACAGTAGCATCCTAGCCAATTTCGGTTGCACTCAAGTCATGTCCGCGTCATAAATTCACATTTTATAAATAATGACTTTGTGCTGCTTTTATAGTTTGGCTCAAGAAAGAGACGCGGCCCTACAATGTTTCGACGCCACTGGTCTTCCTCTCCTAACAGTAGGCAAGTGCCCTCTCCAAGCGTCAAATGTTTTATCCTCAATCTACAGACATGCACTACTGGTTACTGACTCTGAGGGAGAAAAACCACCACTGGTTATTTTTGAAAGAGAAAAGAGGTTTGCTGTCTCTTCTTACTGTAAAGTTTTTAGCCGGGTCTTGATGGCTCAATCTGGAGGTTACATAACTACCGTCTACAGGACCAATCCTACTTAGCGTTATTTCCTCCCTCTTTCCTCGATAATTGCTTATTAGCCCTCCTATATATTGTGCAATATATTTACACCTACTGCATTTAAATCTCGTCCGTAATGTGCGGCTAAATGCTCTTGACTGTTCAATCATGAAGACCCTTGATTTGATGACGTGGGTGCCTTCGAATTTAAGACGCCGACAACGCCGCGAGGTCCTACCCTAAAAGCTTCATTTGATTGTGGGAGTTACTTCACACGAATGCTCTCTGTAGATTATTTTGCTCAAGCTTCATTCTTAACTGCCACACTTACCATGCAGGATACACCTCTTTCTTCAGCACTGCCTCACATAACGAATAAATCTGGTCACGACGCACAAACTTGCTTAGGATATTGCGATTCTGAGAAATTTTTAGAAGCAGATTTAGTCTTGATCGCTTTCGCAAGATTAGTGCGGTTAAAAGCATTGTTTTGTCAAAACCTAGATGTACAAACGAGCGGGATCTCTGCCACATCGGCGGATTGATTTGAGTCTCTGGGAATATGCCGTTTCAGATAGTGGAAGAAGGACCGAATCTACACGGGTGGTTCGGTCCCCGACCCGTGTTTGACAATCGAGGCCATTCCAGTCTATGATAAGAGCGAGGAACCTGCCACTTACAAATACAGAACGTACATTCTACGGCCAAGGGATGGTTAGTTTTAGTAAATGATACTTGAACGAAACCTGTGAAAGAAACGTCCGTTTCAGCCGTTAAATGCATGCGCAGGCGCGCAAATACAACCAGAAGCGGTAGTAGTGAGGAAAGTGGCAGAATTCTACTTCTCATGAATCCAATGCTTGTGGGTCACATTGGCATTGGTGTCAGTGTTGGAGGGCTTCTTGGGTCGGCGTGGAGGGGGTTCGACATTGACGTCGGCGACGATGAGGGAAGTGGAGCTGCGGGCCCCGCCTTCGTCAAGGTGCTGTTGGTGCTGCGGTGGCGGCGATGGTGATGCCATGCAGAGAAGGTAACCATGTTCGGAAATAATGCCGCCGACCTGTTTTCTCTCTGGCGCCGTCCCATCGCCGTCCTCGCTGCCCGTCACCACGATGCAACCACTACCCGCCGTCGGAGTAGCCTCCTTCTGCGGCCAGCGCCCCATCGTCTGGTGCACCAAGCGGATGTGTCGGTCTAGGTTGAAGCTGGCAGCAGTCGAAGACGAACACAACTAGGATTTGTCCAAGCAATTACGTATCGCTTCGTTCTAATAAGACTTTATCACTGGACCACCTAGCATTTACTACTAATTCTGTTTGTTTTGCAAATGCAAAGGCAGACCTCCCTCCGGAGAAAAATGTCACACAAGCTGCACCATAAACACGGAACACAGAATAGAAGAGAGTAACGTTAATCAGAGGGCCCTGATATATCAAATAGTCCGACGACTCCACAACAAATTCTCATTCCTTTCGACACAGAGTGCGCATGTGGTAAGAAAAGAAACAACGAGGAACATGCACCAACGGTAAACAACTTCTACACTATGGACTTACTGATTGCTGATGCGTTTTGAGCAGATAGGGCAGGTGACAGAGTTGCTCTGGTTGTGAACGCGCTGAAAGTGAGTCGTCATGTTGCCTTTTGTGCTGAATGTTGTACCTGGTAAAACATCCGAGCTGACCTTTACATGAAGAGGCCTAATTTGTGGCTGGAAGTACGATAGCCATAATAATTTCTAAATTCATTTTTCCTTCAATTAATTTACGGCAGACTACTTACAGAATGATTACAAAGTACAAAGCGAAACCACTGGTCGATGAAGCGGGAAAACAGCGCATCGATACCAGCGCTTCGATAAGTATAACGGAAGTAGCCAGGATCCTAATGCGATTGAGAAGTGGTAGAAGTAGTGCCTTTTAAAATCCCTTAGAATTGGTAGGCAATCATTAATGGTACATTCATTTACCGTTCTACAAGTGGGTGAAAAAAGTCGCGGATGCTAGGTGAATTTACGTAGTCACAATAGGTTAATGGAGCATATTTTACCGAACTTTTGCGTAGTGAGCTTAAAAAGGATACAGCATAGTTGCACCACAAAAATATTACTGACTCAGGTGACTTACGACACTCGGGACAAACGAATCTGTACTTATTGTGAACGTTCTTCAAATGCTGCTGGTACTGGGCGGCACTACTGAATCCCAAACTGCAAGGCTGAAAGAAAGAAAGTGAATGCAACTCATTTTGCGAGTAGTGCCAAGCTGACGAAACTTGTTGTAGGATTACGGAAGTAACGAGGAGTTATGCAAGGTAGGAGCACTTTAATCCCTGAAAAATAGATCACTCGAAGGGTGTGTAGGCCGTTTCCTAAGGTAATGATGCAAGAGTTAACTGACAGAGCGCCAACATGCCTTTATTGCATACTAACACAAAAATCTCCCACAGCAAGGTGAAGAGGACACGTTAGATGATCAGAAAAAGCTAAAAGTCTAGGTGCATAACTCAAAACAATGACACAGTTGAGTAACTGTAAATGTGATGGAGTTTCCTCAACCTCTTTTACGTGACTAAGATAAAAAATCTAATGCCATCATAGATAAAAAGACGGCTACCAACAAAGACTAGATAACTGTCAAACCTATGCTTTCCTATCCAATAAATAACAGGACTGGGAAGTAACTAAACAGTACTACAATATTTTACTAAAACATATTGTTTGATAGAACAGCGACGCCTTGGGTAAGGAACACCACACGCCATCCACTTAAACGTACGTAAAACTAGCATTTTGAGCGAGATGAAGTACCGTGCAAGTAATGGGGAAAGTTTGGATGATTTTAATGGTGCAATTTGAATGAAGGGATTATGGAAAACTTGCTTCACAGAATCGTTTCCACGACGAGCTCGGTGTATCCGTCGTAAGATTGCACAGACGAACAGTGGAATCGTTGGGGGGAAACACTGCGGGGATTTGAGGCGCACGAGAACAATCTAAGATAACACAATTCCGAACAATGTAGTGAAATGAATTACTAAGACGAATGATTTTAATTCGTACAATACCCAAATGCTGTAATTTACAAAAAAATTTTCTCAAAAGGCTACGGATACTTCTAATTCACAAACTCACCCCTGAGAATCAAGCAAATTTGCTTAAAATGCTGTGGACATTGGATGGCATCTTTTTATTTACTCAAATATTGCGTGCTAGCCGAAGGAATATAGCAGTAAAAAGGAAATCAAAATCGTAACTTCGTCGACGCAAACAGACGCAAGTATAAGAGTGACTGCAATGTACTGACGAAAGCTTTGCCACTAAAAATTACCTCAAAGGAACCATTCTACAAATGCAGAGCTTAATAACTAAATACTTATGAAGTTAAATAACAGTAATGGAAGAAAATCACAGAAAGCCCTGGTTGTGATTCACAGAACAGCGCCTAAAGGCATATATAGAAATTCGACTGAACATTAGCACAAATGAATCAATGAGAATAAGGGGGGACTTCATGAGGCAGTGTGTTTTCTCTCCATCAATTTTTGCTAGCAGCGTTGTGATGAGATGTGGGGATTCGTCCCACCTAGACTGCGTGAGACGACCAAACTGGAGCACCGGTGCTGCTGGGCATCGGGGGCGTCGACGGCAAGCGGACTGTTGGGAAGAATGGTGGAGCACTTGTCGCAGCAACGCAGTTCCGCGTGTAACCGCAGGTGAGCAGCAATTAGCTCCACCGAGCTCTGCTCCACTAAAAGGAGTATTTGATGGAGAGAGTGAGAGAATAAGCGAATACGAACCGATAGTAAACTGGGCCACGCATAGTCCACACTTCCACAAGAATGGCTTCCACGAGGACTCTTGCTGAATGTCAACGGAAATCAGGACATCAACTGTTGCAGGTGATTTATAAGACAGTCTGGTGACCGAGTCTATGGCAACTTCTATCCCATTTGCGGAAGCGTAAACCATCTGAGGCCGAGGAATTGAACTAAAGGAAGATAAAGTAGATCCATGCCTTGCCTTAAGTATCCGACAGATACATTCATGTTACTTTTGTTGGTGCAGTTTGAGTCGGTTAACTGGAGACGCCGCCAAGGCCGTTCGTCGCCCGAGGTCAGAAGGACGTGGAGTGGGAGCGGGGCCTGAAGCACACGAGTGTTTATGATGCCTCGAACCGCCTCGGCCAATTCTGCCCACTGGCACACTGGATACCGACTGTAAGACAGCGAGGCTACCAAAGTTGACCCGACACCTGCCGTGGCCGTCTGCAGCATAGCCCAAATGCATAAAGACATACCGAGAAGGTTAAAATCTTCATGGGTCAGTAACTGTCCAAACTAGCACGTGCACAAAGTATACGGAGATGCCACAATCAGTTCGCAAGATTTGCGAATCGAATTATGCCAGTGATAGTCACGGTGACTCCCGTAGATATCCAGCCTTCGATTTTAACTTTTCAAAGAAGTGAACATTGAAAATCGTTGCATAAAGGCTATGAAAAGACACCAATAGTTTTAGTCTCACCGCTATCTTTGACACATCGATCCATTTAATAAGATTTACAATGCTAACATAATCATAGATGTGGAGCTATCGAAGAATTATAATCTACGGATAATCCAGTCGGACCTACAGACTTGTAATAAAAAAAAGCCATCCTAGGATTTTCACATGCACAGACAATCAAAAGAGACTGCAAGCTAAATAAAAACAATTGTACTAATTTGGCACACAGTAAATGCGTACAAAAGGTGTGAATGTTAGCTTGAAAGAGAAGGGTTAGAGACAGAGCGCAAAGCCCCCCTGAGGGTCACAAAGATGGTCGAGACTGCGGCAGGAAAAGACAACTGAAAAGTTGTTTAACTCCATTAGAGTGGTGACCTGGCTGTGTGGCGCGTAAGAGAAGGAGACTCGTGGTAATGGTGAGGCGGTTGCGCAGGTAGGCAGGGTAAGGAAGTGGGGTGAAACGTGAGCAGAGAAGCGCAACCACGCCGGACATCGCGATTGCACCGCCTGTAGACGGTTTGTGCATCTCGCCTCGTCAGGGTCCATCTGCCTACCTGTCGAAGCATCAATTAGCGCGGTGAGAGAGTGCTTCACTCTCGCTGTGGAGCGATCAATGTCGTAGACAAGAATCCAGTTGGGCTCAAGTGGAGATGTGAAGAGAATACGATCCGTCAAACCTGCGCAATCGGGTATCTACAGTTAAGATGGTCCTACTTTGATGACAGCAACTCGCTTTGATAGAATCAACTTATCGCACACAGTGTGAAAAACTGCTTACATCGAAAACCACTTCTTCCATATGTGCGATAACGGGCATGTCGAAAGACGAGTCTTCAACTTGGTCATAGGGTCGCCACTTTTGGGTGTCAAAATATGAGTGACACTGGCCACAGAGACGATTAGCCAAGAGCTTATCAGGGCTCAAACTGGATGAAGCGAACGGAGCATCCAAATTAATCTTGCCACGCTGTGGTACAAGCGCCTTTAATGAAAGATCAAGGAAGTCGATCAGTACATAACTAGACGTAGAATTTATGACACGTAAAAGTTAGCAAAAGTGATATTGTCAGGCACCTTTGTAATCAAAGATAAAAAGTCGCGATTCAGGAAGTGGATATCAGATAATATTTCTGGTTAAATTGCAAAAAAATTTGTGTTTTGACCCACCCAATGCAAATAGGAGGCCCGGATATCCTGTAACATGGCTAAATAGTTCAGCGGCCGGCAGGAATACAGTTGTCTACGGGAGACCAACAGAGAAGACGTCCAATGGTCAAATGTATGCCTCGGTCCGATACACTTATGGCCCTGCAAAAATTTTCTGGCTGGAAGCTAAAAATCAAAGGAGCATTACTTATTTTAAAAACACTGCAGGCAATTCAAATCGTGTCTTAAATGATAAACCAGGAAATTAGAAATATGGATGACAAATATGGTAAAGTTACCCACGACTGCATGATTACTCAATACTTACAAGAGGATGCCTGTGACCCTCCGGCCAGGGTTCGGTCCACTTGACGATACGTACAGGAAGCGTTGCAAGAGCACATCGTTTTCCAACGCCACACGATTCCTCCCAATTGTAATTCGCCCAATCGGATGGCAAAAATTGCGGGCGTTCAGAAGAAAATCGGCATCGGCTGGAGTCATCTGACCAGAAAAAACACGATGAGCAATAGTTGTTCGTCAAAAATGATCCTTGATGCGCTAAAGGAGGCGGATATGAAAGACTTCCCCTTGCGTGTTTACCATGATGCGCGTAAGAACCCTAATGATAGGTTTTCGTTGAAATGCAAGAAGCAACAATACCATAGGCATTGAACACGACCAACTGTTACCGAACGAACAGCTGAGGAGGCGGACTTGACGACCTTGACTAACCCATGTAACCCGCAAACGACCCGTTTCAGGACACACTGAAGGATGCACACTAGCGGTCAGGTCTCCCATACACGAACACACTTGTCCTTTCGACGTGATTTTAGAGAGGACATGGAATTAGCCTACCCTTGTAAATGCAATTAGGACTACCGTCCACTACTTCTGTAGACCAGCCAGAGATACACTCGCGACCATAGAAAGAGCAGTCAGGGGATAAATTAAGAAGTTGAAAATGCTTGGAACAGTTGAAAGAAGTGCGCGTTCCGATAAGAGCACATGCTCGCCGGCAGTCAGTACAGTCTGGTTCGGGCATTGTACCCCAAACAAGCGAAATATAATCTATTCCCTACAAACAAAGAAAGCTGGATGACTCAATAAAAGTAGACTATTTAGCCGTAGCAAGCTATTCCACTTACCAACGAATAAATTAGAACGAATATCTGTGTATCAGAGGTAGACTGAAGGAAGCGGACTCCAACTTGGTCGTAGACCCGACTAGTTGATATCGATGCGGAAAATACTGCAAAGGGTTTATTCAACCAGGAACAAGGCGAGCCCTCTTCACCGGGTATAAGCCAGAAAGTGAGTCTAAATACACCCAATCTGGAAACATAAGACACAAGGAAGCGTCCATCCGCTGTGAAGCCCAAAAATACTTCATCATATAAGGTCTTAGGAAGAATGTCCCACAGACATATAGGCCTTAGACCCGGAAATATGGGAAGTCGCGTGCCGAACATTTCTCGACGAAATAGTGCTTGAATCAGGTCCATGTTCTAAAAGTAGCGAGCACAACACTATGTATGGTAATCAGGCTCACAGACCAGGTGTAATAACTACTAGTATGGGCAAAGTGGTTCCGTAAAACACGAACGGGGGGTGTCAAGAGGAAAACAGGGAAGATAGGCGTTTATTCAAATATGAATACTTCAAGATAAAACCAAAGTACTAGTGCTGTCAAAAGTCAATACATCTCCCTTTGCGTTCCCAGTCTCCGTAACGGGTTGGTTCAGGACCTCTAGGTCCATCCCTTTCGCCAGTCTTTGGGTTTATATCGTTGGGAAATCTTTCGAGTGGTTCTTTTTCGGCATCCGGATGTGGTTCCAATGTACGATTAAGCCCTTTGCCGACCTCCTCGCAGGCCGAAGAAAATAAGGCCCGACAGTTAACCGCAGCAGACCTTACGTTTGTAAACCCACCAACAACGGCGCGCAACATCGATCCCCCCTGGAATTCCCGGGTGACATATAGCTCAGACAAACTTCAAAATGTAGCATTAACTCAAATAAGTCCCATAACTACCAAGTTTTGATAAATAGTTATTTTTAAAAAGTTTATTCATCTGAATAAGAGATTTTGACACAAACGAAGCCCGCATTTAAGATTTTATGTCACAATCTTGTAATGGGGCAAAAAAATGGCAAAATAATACAATAATTGCCCAAAAACTTTGATATTGTAGCAACTTTACTTGGTGAAATTAGCAAAACTAGCTTGTCAAGATACATCTCGCGTGTGCAGCAAACTGGCTTCCAAAACAGCGCGTCTATCGCTCTTTTTGGATCACAACTAATTTTGTACGAAATAGTCATTTTATCATGTTTCAATAGTTTCAAACCGTTTGCACTCCATCTAAAGGGGGAAAATAATCATATGCTTGCTCTGCAGCTCTGCTTGCTTACTTTTGCTACATAAAACGTGTTATGTGTGCATTTTTTGACTAAAGCACGCGCGGATTCTCATTTTTTCAATTGTTTCTTAAACGCTAAAATTGCCCTTATTTCTACACCCACATACGCAGCTGATGTTTTTCAGCCCTTCGGATCCTCAGACACCTATTTGGTGCATACCCTGTGTGGCGTTACATGTTTCAGTTCCAAAGTAGTTTGGCGTGCTAAGCTATTTTGATTTTGCAGTTTGCGGCGATTCAATAAATACTCTTTCTACTTCTACTCTTTGTTGCTGTTGGATTCAAACCACTTGGGTTTGTTTCTTTGTTCTTAAATGGGATTCCCATGAACTATTATAGTGCCGGGGACTTTTTGTGCACTTAAGTTTATATTGTTCCGTATTTTTCAACGTTATTGCTGGAGAATAACTGCTGAAATGACTTCTATCGGCACTGGAGCTTCATCAGTTTGTGTAGCCTCTCAGACAGACGGTGATTGGCTGGGGATTACGGCTGCCGAAATCTCTGAATCCGCACTTCCTCGTGAATTCCGCAATCGTCTTCACAAAATGTTTGAACGTATTGAGCGTGAATTTGAGAGGGAGTATCATAAACTTTGTGCCGAAAACTATGCATGTAGGGTTTGATTTAGGATTTCCGTAGTTTTTCAATTCCATCCCTTTTTTCACTCAGCAAAATGTAGCTGATTCTACTCTGTTTTTGAATATCGCTCTCGATTGACAATGATCGTGTCGTTGGCTCTTTGACTATAGTGCAGGAGAAATTGGAGAAATTTGAAGATGTTGAACATCCGGAGTCCTCAATTTTTACCAGAAAGTGTGAGTTTTATGCGGCCTTAACAGTATTTTTTCTACTATATTTTGGTGTCTGGACGTATTATGGTAATGAATTCCTCGTCATTTTTAAGGACTGCAGATTCTTGATCCTTGTCCTCTTATCTTTGTTTTCCTTTCTGACGTTAGTAACGGCCAGTCAGCTGTCCCACCGCATCAAGCAGCAGTACAAGCAGTCCACTTCGCGCCTCGTCTCGAGCCTTCGCCCGGCCTCTGGTGGCCTCACCCTCCCCAGTCCCGGCTCCATCCCGGACTCCTCACGCTGCGGCTCGTGGAAATTTGTTCATAGATTCACAGGTCATCGCGATGGGGTCTGGGAGGCCACCTGTTTCCACAATCTCATTGCCACGGCTTCAGCTGACACTACCGTTCGATTGTGGAGTAATTCAGAACAACACAAGTTAGCATGACCCTTTCCGTGATTGAGATCTCCCTGATCATGTCTGAGTTTGCCATGCGGTTGGAGCTCGAAGTCTTTTGGACTTTTACATTTGCTCTTTTTAACCTCACTATTATTAGCCCATGCAAATTAGATGGTCATCAATGTTTTCACTGCTAGTGTTATTGGCTGTGCAAGTTTGTGATTTTGTGCTAACTAAAGCGAGAAATATTACTAATTGTAACTATTTCCACAGTTGCTTGCTCATTTACTCGGGTCACTCAGGCTCGGTAAATTCGGTTCGCTTCCGCGATCGCGACAACCTCATGCTCACCTGTAGCGGCGACGGCACTGCACACCTCATTACCCTTCCCTCCGCCTTATTCGAGGCAGCTACCCCAGCTCGCTCCATCCAGAGTGCCTCTGGCGATCTTGGCAATGGACACCAGTCTGAGGGTACGCTTGCGCATCCTTCACTCTCATTCGCTTTTGCCTACTTTTTACCATCCTTCCACTTGTTCTGCTCCTTTCAGGAACCAGCACTGGTGCTGAAGCAGATAACCAGGCCGAGGGTGAGTATAGGTAGTTTGTGCTTCTGTACCAGCTGGTTTTCATCACATATTTGATTACATTAAGCTCCTAGTAGTTCAGAGTAGTTCTATTGTGCCTAATGATTTTGAGTTGTTTGAGTTGTTGAAATATCTTCCTAGTTTAAATTACTCACTTTTAACTAGTTCTCACTAGCTCTTCAGATGGTTTGTCTTCTAACAGATCTCCTTTAATCTTCTGTACACACTTTTCTCACGCAGTAGTCCTCGTGCAACTGAAATGTCGTTACAACTAGGGCCTTCAGATTGCCTTCAGCCTTTGCTGTGTAAATATATGGATAGTTCTTTAATTGCCTCCATTCCTCCGTCCGCTAAAAATTTTCCGTCTTCACAACTCTGCCATCAACATTTATTTCATCACCTTTTATGCTCCAAGCCCGAATTTCTGTTTAAGTGCTTCTTTTGATGTTTTCCTCTTATTCTCGGAATTCTCTTCAACATGCAGTTTTGTAACTTGAGGACATATTGCCTAGCCCTGCAGTGCGTCAAAACGGTCGCCTCACACTATCCATCTGCCCTTAACCTTCCCTGCGCTCGTTCCCTGGACTCGCTTTTCTTTAGAACTTGGTCTACATCTGCTAACCGTTTTGATTACTCTAATGCGACTTCTTTTCTATGCGAAACCGCTGGTCACTAAGACCTTTTCCTTCCTAGTGTTGCGCGGCTATCTACGGTAGAGTATTCTAGCGGTTCAATTTCCACCAACACTTTACTTTGTGCGTAATATTTTACTTTCCTCAAATAAAGATCATTTGATGCTTCATAAATGGTTTGAGGCAAAAAGCGGCCACATTGATAGGCAACTCCAATCTCGCTTGCCTAAAATTTATGTAACAAAAGTCTAGTTTAGTTGTGCAAATTTTTTCGTCACAATCGATAGGGGCCATGAGTGGAATTGGATCCCCATACTGCATTATTGCATAACAGTCAACGGCTTGAATATCATCCTGAGCTCTTATCTGAGCATAGTTGTTTGAGCGATATAATAAACCATCTTGCCCTACAGTGTCACTGCTTTACCGTGTTTGTTTTGTTCATTTATATAAGAATTATCAAAACTGAAGCGTTTTTTTTGCTACCCGTGCTCTCTCAAAGTATCATTGTCAGCTATTTTTTGTGTTATTTCTAGCATTTTGGGCTAGTATGAATCAGACGATAGTGAAATAACAATACAAATGGGGAGTTATAAATAAAATCCTCCTTAGATGCCATCATTAGCGGAAGGACCATGGGCATAATGCATAATTGTTACTGCGAGTTCATGCATGGTAATTGGCTCTTTGCTATTGCGTTGGGCTGATGCAGGTATTCAGCTGCCGATGCAACTGCGTGGTCCGTCAGCGGTGTTCCAGTCTGCAAGCCTCTTCGTGGCGGAGGCGGGGAGCGTTGGGGGGATATCCTCGGGCCTATTGACGTGCGACAGTGCCTCATCACTAGACTCCTACCCCCTTGCAGCAGCCGACTTTGTGTGTGGTCACGAGCAGCTTGTGACAGCCAGTTGGGACCGCCTGGGCCACTTGTACGACCTCAACACTGGTCAGGAGGTGCAGTCGCTCGCCGGCCACGATCGCGAGCTCACTGATGTGCGCTGCTGCCAGGACTCTAACCTCCCCGCCGTCGTCACCTCTGCCAGGGATTCCACCTTTCGCGTCTGGGACTTTCGCCAGCCTCGTCTTGAGGTACACGTGCAACAGGCTCACAGTCGGTCAGTTTTTTCCTCACTCGAGCTTTGCCACGGTTTCTAAGTGTAGTTTGGATTTGGATTCACGGGTTTGGTTACTTTTACATTTTTTAGGTAAAGTTACCGAATGTGGTCATAGTACATTTTTGACTATATGAACTTGATCATAAATGAGTCAGCGGTTAAAGTTCCCGGGCCAATGGTAATGGATTTGTGATGCGTTTTTTGTTTTCATTACTTTAACCAACCCATAAATCTGAATTTGATCTGAAATGGCTGGGCCGTTTCTTTTATAAATAATTATCCAGTCTGGTGGATGTAGGACTGTATCAACTGCACAATTCCTCCCTGGCTCGGGCCTGGATCAGATTGTGAGTGCGGGGACGGACCGATGCTGTCGGCTGTGGGACTTGCGTAGCCTCCGATCGCCAATTTTTACGGTGCGCACAGATGCCAGCATCAACCGCTTGGCGATATCTCGGGCGGGTCTCCTGCGGCATCGCCAGGCTGTAGCTGGGGCCGGTGTTGCAGCGCAGTCGGGTGGCGAGGGGTGGAGCGCTGGGGCCGCAGTGGCGTCAGTAGCAATGGGGACGGTGGTGGTTGGAGGAGGAACGGGCAGTAACACGGTCGCATCCTTTACGGGTGCTGACGCCATCGCGCACTCCTGTGTCCTTGCCCTGCCCCTCGACAATCGCACTCTTCGACTTCTGGCCGCCAATGGCTCACGCATCGGACGTATCCCTCGTAATATCACTCACGTAAGCCAACGCAGTCTCCTCTCCTGACCGGCAGATGCCTCCTCCCCGTTGGCTTTTGGGCTGTGATGGGGTCAAGGATGAATTGGTTCACATCAGCGAGGCACGGCTTCTTACGGATTTTTTACTTAGAAGTAGTTACGAAAATAGGCATTAGTTCGAATATTGGTGATAATGAAAACCCTCTGAGGATCGGGAAATCTCATGAGTCGATGAGTTACTGCTTACACGAAGGATTGAAATTCAATGGAAACGATGTGTAAAAAATACCTCTTTTTGCCAATAATATTCAAAAGCAATGTACTTGATCGGAGTGGTAGAGAAACTACCTGTCGTGAAATTTGAACTTTATGGATGTTTAGCTGAATATAGTCACTTTTGCGTTATTGGTTCTAACACGATTTTTTGAATGTGGAAAAACAAGGAGGTGGTATCAATGTGCTATTTGTTTTTGTCATGTAGATTTTCCTAACCCGGTATCAATTCTGGATGAGGAAAATGTCTCCATTGATTTGGACTGCGAGCATATATCAATCATAGGCACAAATCGTAAATCATCAGCGGTGTAATGTGTATAAGTAGGGCTCTGATGGATGCATAATTCAAAAGGGGCTTGACGGAGAGCGAGAGAGCCTCTTGTCAGCCCAATTGAAAAGCTGACTATTGTGAATTCAAGACCTATTCTAGGCCACCCAAATTGACTCCCTGATACATGAGATATAATGTTCGTGGAGAATATCCCAAGGAGTCTGAAAAGTGCAACTACTTGATCAAATCCACTTCTCCACTCTCGTGAGCAAACACTTACATTGTCTGCAAGAACACCATATTAAATCTGTCTCTTATTGCAAACATTTATGACCATTTCTAAGTCTTCTTAGGAAATTAGTTATTACATTTTTGGCGAGAAATTTGCGTACAGCCCTTCGACGTAGGGCTGAGCGCAAGTCATTTTCTGACGGATGGTCTGCCCATCGTTTTCCATCCTCATGTTGACCTTGTTGCACCATTATTTCGTAAAAACCAAACTGATAATTTATTTGCATGATGCTCTTTGCTCCGGTAACTGAAGGGCCACACGAGCGCCATCACAAGTGCAGCTTGGGCTCCTGAAGGCCAGTGCAATCTCTTCACCACAGGCTTCGATCAGCAGCTCCTTGGGTGGCAGTTGCAGATCTCATGAGCCCACATATCCTCTTCTTGTCCTTCTATTTATGTCCTTTCGCTTCTTTCAACCTAACCTCCTTATTTATTGCAATCACCTGCGCTCAAAAAGCGTTCTTTTGTCAGCCAATTTATTTTCTCATGTGAATGTTTGATTGCTGAACATTTGTTTGAAGTGTAGTCCAGTGCCTGACACGCCTTCCTATGAATAAAGTGAGCACAAAGCCAGTTGTTGTACTTCCATTTTGTGGGTGTTGACCGCCTTGTTTTCGTGGCTCACTTTTGCAATTTGGGGTCGTGGAAGGGTATGACGCATACGCCACACTAGTCTACTTGGGGTAGTTTGGTGATTCGTGTTTTATTTGAATTTGCCCAACGCTGGACAGCCATATATCAATCTGAATTCCATTCAGCTAGTGAGAAGGTGGAGGAGATATCACGTGTTCACTTAATTGACATCTTCATATGGGTGCCTTAGCTCTGTAACGAGCTTTTCCTTGTGGTTCACGTCTAGTATCCCTTCCATTGTTAATAGCATTTGCGCAGGACATGGGGCTGGGGTAGTTGCCGAAGGCAAACTTCATTTTCAACCCATCCGTCAGGAGTCTTCACATGTTACCTCATCATCAACAGATGTCCTTCTTCTGTCACATTAAGGGTTAGAATCTGGCTCGATTGCCGCTGCCACCAACGTAGCACCCCGAGATTACGTGAGTGTTTTTTGGAACACCAACTAAGTTAAAATGGTCGATATGTTAAACTGACCACGGAGAGAGGCTATAAAATACTTGGATTAACTCTGCGCTTAATGACGCGGGCACCTAAGTCTCTAAGGATTAAACTTACGCTTGGCGGCATGGCTTCCAGGTCAGCACGTCATAGCGTGTATTCTACCACCATACAATGCCCTCTTATAACTTCGGAAAAGGCCTAGAGATTTACAAACACCCATACCTGATTCACACCAGTGCAACAACATGAAGCGAGATTGCTTTTTATATAAGAGAATTAGAACATCTTGCCTAAGAGACCAATCAGTTTAGTTCATTTGCAGGCAATGGTGCCGCATGGGTATTTTCCTAGTGGGCAGAGCTTATAACATTTCACTCTGATTTTTCCAATTTTGCCATCTTGATTCCTTTATAATGTTACAATCAAATAATTTTATTCGCCTTAAAAAACCTAAGTTTTGGCATGACAAAGCAATTTAAAAAGCTCTTTAAAGCAATTCCACTGTCTTTCTTAAGCATTTACCTTGAAATAATATTTCAATAGTGCTGAAAGTAATTAATGTCGTTGATTTGACATGACCTACGGACCAACTAGTGTCCTGGTTTGCAAGTTGTAAGATTTTGTCTTCATTGATATGCGCGACTAAGTCTTTACGTATTATTGGCGTGCACTGGGATATCCTGGGATATGTTTGTCATTGGAACTTCACCTCACTCATCTTTTCTGTCACAATATTCTATGTGCATTATCCACCCATTTTTACCGTTGCGTAAATAGTTCGACTCTAAACTGGTTAATTAACATGGTATGGGGGCTTTCGATTTCATTAGTTAGGTTATATCAAGTTTAAGCGAATAATATGTGAGACGCATGGCTTCTCAGTACTGCTATTTCTTCTTTTTTATTACTCTGGCCTCTATCATTTTCTTTGCATCCGTCTCATGTTGCATTAGTGAGAATATTATAGGCTTGGCCATTGAATGTTTTATCATGTATGTTATAGACTCAGTGCATCTTTAACTTTTCAATGTGGTTACATAGCGTCGATACATGTAGGTGTTCTACCGCTGAATAGTAGCTAGTTTTTAATCCATCATTTAGTGCGATGACAATTGAAATATTGCCGCAGTACAAATCGGTTGTTTTCTTTGTTACTTCCCAATCTCGATTTTCTTTTAGTTTCTATGTGTAGTGTTTTTGGATACACTTTCACGGAGCGGCTTGGAAAGGGCACCTATGGTGAGGTTTTCAAGGCTGTACATCAGGCAAGTAAGACCTTAGTAATCTAATGTCATTAGATGTCACGCAATGTTGTTGCCATAAAGCGCATATCCAAAAAAGCGTTATGCAAACGTGCACAGGATAACCTCGTCGATGAGATTGGTATCTTGAAGGAACTTCAGCATCGCAATATCGCTAGAATGACCGAATTCTCGGTAAAGCATTGGCATGTTCTTCACTTTTAGTGGGATTCGGATTACGTATACATTTTCATGGAATATTTGGGTGGAGGTGATCTGAGTTCTTTTCTTAAATCAAAGCGAAGTCTACCTGAGAGGACCATTCGCTATTTTCTCCAGCAGCTTGGTATAGGTTTGATGTGTTTCCAGCGGTTTCTGTTTTTCAGCTTTTGCATTGCATTATCTATACGAGAGAAATATCGTACACATGGATATAAAACCTCAAAACATACTTTTAACAACCTCGGTCCCGCCAGTTCTGAAATTGGCAGGTGAGTTCCATTGGATCTGGGATAAAATACGCATTACATTGCCCCTTGGCATCTACCGTTTCTTATATATTCACCAGAGAGTTCTAAGGCTGTACACCTTGTTGATTTTTTATTATACTTCACCCGACTTTTAATGTTCTTTCCATGAAGTATGGTATACGTGTAATCTTTCACTTATTTAAAGATTTCGGTTTTGCCAAGTCGCTGGAGAAGCCAGTCAAAATGGACGAGATCCGTGGTTCTCTACTTTATATGGCTCCAGAAATCTATAAATTTGGTGTTTATGAAAAGGCATGTGATCTTTGGTCAGTAGGCGTCATTTTCTTCGGTAAGCATTGCACGTCATCTGGCTCTACGCTATATCATCTCACACAACTAAAGTGCTTCTCGTGCCTTGTGAATAACTGGCTTTTTGGCATTGAGCTTCCATTGAAAGTAGAGCCTTTAATGCCTAGGTTAACCATTCAGAATTGTTCATCTTCGTCATCAGTTTTCATAGCAAAGTGAAGTGTTAGAGATTTCAGAATGGTAACCTGTCGAACTTGTTTTTATTGCATTTTCTGTATTTTTTTGTTTACTCGTATTATGTTCCTAGAATGCTTATTCGGCAAAGCACCATTCGCCTCCGCCACTGTTGAAGAGTTGAAAGCCAAGCTTTTGGATGACTCCCCCATTAAAGTATGGAGTTTTATTTTATGTGTTAGGTTGAGATTTTGTGATGCCAATCTCATTCTTTACGGCTTTTTCTTGATCGGTATCGATGTTCAACTAAACCCAATGACTTATGGCGGTATTACCTGTTTTGTATTGGAGTATTGGCTTCTTTCGATTTCTGTCGAAATGTGAATGCCAGTGATGCGGTTTTTTTCGCATGGCTCCTTGAAGATTATTTGTGTCGCTTAAAAATCTGACAACCTAGTTTTTGATGCCTCACCCAATGCGTTCATTTGAAGCTTAAAAGCTGGCAAATCTACCACTTATAATTCCTGTCGTAGATTCCCAGTCGACCTGTCTTCGGTAAGGATTGTATAGATTTGGTTTCCAAATTGCTAAAACGCAAACTCTCCGAACGAATTCACCACGAGCAGTTCTTTGTTCACCCGTTCATTGACTTGGCTCACGCCCCGTGCCCACAGAGCATTGACAAGGCAGTGAGTTTGGACAGTGTTTTCGCCTATCTTCTCTGCGCTTCTCCCTCTCCCCTCCTGACATCGTTAGTCATCCATCTTTGCTAGATCAATCACATCGTGATTGCTGATGATCTCTTCTCAGCAGGTGACCTTGTCGATGCCTACTTCAACTACAAGGAGGGCCTCATCCATTTGGTTTCTGCTCTCCAAAGTAGGCTCTAACTTTTTACCTCCACCTTATCTCCTCTTCATTCATTACACTTATTCACTCGGTATTGCTTTAGTTGAATTGGACCATTGGAGAAAGCAAATAATAAGAGCAAAGGTAAGCACAGTATTTTCCGCCACTAATATTTGTCGTAAACTGCATCTTTATCCATTTTGTTGAATCTAATGAAGAAAAGCATTATAAGATTTTAGTTATTGCCACGAAAAGCTAATTCCGTGGTTGAGTGCTTTAATGATTTTTTATTCAAAAAAGTGGGACTAATAATAAATTGCAAGTAGTTTATGGTAGGTTAATGCACAAGTAAATTCTCGTTATCTTTGATGTTTTTGTACTAATTTATTTCAGCTTTCCCAATATATCAAGGTGGCAGAAGATTTGAATCGTCATCTCGATGATATCGAAGTCGTCGGCTCTAGCCACAGTAGCCATAGGCATTCTGGCAAATCAAATGCTGCTCCTAGTGTCCTAAGTAAAGGAGCCACTCTGCCTGCTGCAAAACCACCTAAAAGATCAAATCCCATTAGCACACTGGCTAAAGAAGCCATCTCATCTACCGATAAACCCGAGCAGGTGCAACCTTCAACCGACCTCCATTCCACTTCTCTTGGCGCTGTTGTTACGCCAATTTCGTAAGTCTAGTTATGTTGGTAAATGTTCTAAGTGAGTTCGTTGTGCTAACTGGGCTGTCAGTCGAAAACTATCCCTTGGGATGGTAAAATCCAAAGCTTGCTATTAAGGGATGCTGATTTGTCTGACCGGTTGGTTGCTTGGTAGGTGTTTAGTTTAGGGATCATGTGCCAAAGTAAACTACTCCACCTTGAGTAATGAAAATTTAGTGCATACGGTGGTCACGAAGTAAGATCCTCTTCATGCATATCTGCTCCCGAGTGCGTAACATCCAACACTCAAGCTTTTGTAGAATCGGTTGATTAATTGAGTAATTTGAAGTTTTTCTTCATCGAGGGGGCACGAAAAATAGCTATGGTTTTCAGATCTATTTTATTTAAACCTAAAAATTCGTCGTGCCGTATTATATTTGGATCCGAAACAACGTGTGCACACTAGCAATGCTTTTACCACGTTCCTCCTCTGTGGTTGTCGGTGTGTTCACGCTGAGTAATGGTCGTTGGTTGAAGGTGTAACATTATCTTGAACATTTGATAGCCTAGTAGGCTGACAGATCGCTAAACATTCATGCCCGACAAACGCTTCAAAAAACCACCTTCATACGTTAGCAGCATCTCATCAGTACCATCACTGCACGATCCCTTGGACGCGAGGAAGCAGGAAGCGAAAGCGCCGAAGCATCAGTCCTTTACCTCCTCCACCTCCTCTTCCGTATGGAGACAGATTCGCCGAGCCCGCCTCCTTATGGCGTGGTTTAGCTCCCCCACCGGTGCCAATAGAAACGACTCTGTCCCATCCGCTTCCTCTCGGACTCCAGACTCCACTCGGATGTCCGATGGCTCCGCTTCCCTGTCCGAAACCGAGTTCACCTCGCAACCCGCCGTTAAGACGGCGTACGAATATGCCATCAAACGGCTTGATAGTCTCAGTAAGTTTAGACTCCTTTCAGTATTGCAAATTCTTAATCGCTGTTGTTGTAATCAATCAATATATACATAATTGCTCATAACAGAATGCACTAGTAAGTTCTCTGTTGTTTTTTTTAACGCTACCACATTGGATTATCGCAGACTGGTTGATATTTTGGTTTCACCCCAATAACTGGACCTTTGCACTGCTTTTAGGGGACATTTCCTCCGAAGGGGAGGCTGGGTTATCGGAGACTATTGAGGACCTGCGGCGTTATTATGCTTTGGTAAGTGGACGTCTCACTTAAAGCTGTGTCCTTATTTGTGATTGTGCGATTGTGGGCTTCGTTTAGTTGCACAATAACGAGTACAAAGCCGCGATGGACTACTTGCAATGTAACTTCGGCAGTTGGCTTGGATTTTTGAAAGGTGAGGCTCCTATTCGTTTTAAACACCATCTTGCCATTGATTATGTTTCTCACTCGGCCTTCTAATGATTTTTGCTGGTCGATTTCAAAAGCTGTCTGCCTACTCACTATTTACTTATGCCAACTTCTGGTTTACTCGGGAGTCACCAAAGATTATCATATACCCCAAGGGTTACCTATCTGTGTCTGCTAATCTGTGATATGGTAAAAGCCTCTTTTAAATGCCCAAAGTAGAACACAAGTCTACGCATTTAGAATGATTGGGATAACTCCCCTAGCCTTCGTACACAATCATTTTCATTAAAATGACCTGCTATTTCCACTTTTCATTCCTCATTTTAGGTCTTAAAGATTTGGAGTTACAGAAAACGCTCCGATCAGAAGTAAGTCGCAACAAATACGCGAATTTAGAAAAGACTACATTGACAAATCATTAAAGGAGAGGTTAGGCTTGTCAAAGTCAAGCACACACTTCACTGTCCATCTTGCAAAGAATTACATTGATTATGCGCCATTACCTTCATCGACAACTTGTAGTTGTTGTTGTAGTTGAACCAGGCGTTGACAGTTGCGGAAAAACTCAAGGCCACCCTAAAAGCGAAAGGAGAGATAACCCCTCTACCAGAAGAAGAGGCTAATGAACGTGAGCTTTCTTCCCTACTTACCGTATTTCTTTCGGGATCGAAATGCAGCTCCACCAAAACTGCTTTATTTAAATTGCACGAATGTCCAGTAGTTTTAATGAGGGTCATTAACCTAAAACTCTCCTTACCTTTTCAGTCAGTTATTTTTTTAGTTGCTACTACTTGCACACCGGCTTAGTACCATTAGCATTCCTTAATATTTAACTTCTTCGAAAGCTACTGCTATAATCAAAGTGCGACTACGCAACACTGTACGCCTCTTCTATTTCTCTAGATGTCTGTCTAGTATTTTTGCATTTTGCGTACAGTGTCACCTTTTGCCATGATTTGAATTCCGCAAAATCAAGGAAATCCATGTCTCCTTTCTATGAGCCGTTTTACTTTATGCATTCTCTACTGCCACCCTAATCTCAATCTTTGTACTTTTCAGAATCCTGTCTAATTTCATAGTGGGTGGAGGCAATGTCCATAATGTCGTACTTTCCAGACGTGTTGTCTTACTAGTGTATTTTGCTAATTTCTTGGTCTATCTAGTCATTAAACTTAATACATATTTTGTATCCTTTCTACTTTCTTTATTCAACAATAAATTGATTTGACTCAAGTACTCAAGTGAAAGGAATTATTTCTCATGCAGTACACTTCCAATGTTAGTGAGTTCAAAAAAATAAAACAAAGGTGGTGCAGATTGACGTCGTATTCGCTCATGACATTTGAGGGATTTGGGAGTGCCATCTAAGCTCAACACTCCAGACTCGCACGCCGATTTTCATTGTTTCTTGGCAGTGGTGGGTGAAATGGTGGTGAGCGTAGTGGTGTTGAGGACGTAATGCGTGCAGGGCGCAGGAATCTCGGTAAGTGTTTTGTTGGTCTCATTGCCGTGGTGGCATTCTCGTCGAGGTAGCCGGTGTCATAGCTTCTTGGCCGGTGTATGTCGCAGTGGTATCATAGTTTGGACCATGGGAGCTGTTTATCGGATAAGTCTGCAGCTTATTGACGTTGGTGGACTGCAACCAATGAAGCGGTTACAAAGCGATCAGAACAATGGACAGTGGGTTTGCCAACGAAGCCGGCGCGTCAGTTGTTTAAGTGTGTCAACATTTCACGCAAGGTGGTCGAATGGCGTCTGAAGAAAGTGGAAAAGCACTGAGTGCATTGTTGGGGTGTAAATTGACCACTACTGAGTACCTCAAAAATAAGAGTGCCTAAGCCAAACTTATTCTAGAGATTGATAAAAAGTTCAGATGGCTGAATTACAGCTCCAGGTTTCTATTCACATCGGAACAGTCAACTCAGTAAATGCCATCAAGTCTCTTCGAGAGGTAAGTTGAGTATCTGAATATCTTATCAAAAATACCAGCAGCGAAGACCTACAGGCAAACTTGAAAGGGAATTCGTCCACATCGTAGCTCTTTGGGACACCCCAAAACGACTTTTATCGACAGCTCATTCGAGAAACAGTAAATGTAAGATGAGTAAAAGAACAGCTTGCTTCCGCAATTAGGATGCTTCACTCCCTCGGCCCTTAAATCGTAAATTATTTTGAGGCATGATTAAAAAGATGGAGATTGTATTTATCAAGTTATTCGCAAGTCCCAACAACCTGTGTTTGGATAAAAGGAAATGTTCTAGGTGGTTGCTATTTTGGTAGACTAAATGGTATTCAAATTTGAATCTACTAACAGATGTAACCGCAGAAGCTAATTACACAGTGGGATAAGTTGGACACAGGCAAGGGGTGTCGTGAGAAGGCTCACAGCTGAATCTCAATCAGCTTCTTAAGTTTCGAAGCCCACTTTTAACTAATTATCAATCACTTTTATTTTCCTTACGGCTGCCATCTTCTTAATTAGTAAATTAAACCAATTCGGGAAGTTTTTATTCACGATCTTACAAAGGTCTGAAACCTGCCCAATAGACAAGGTATCTGAACGTGAAATTCTGTAGAAGAAAGATAAAGCCCACTCCGACTCAATGTCTTCTATCAGGCTTCTGGAGGAAGACCTGAAATCCACCGCTGGGTGTTGAATGATCTACTGATCTACTTTCATTAATTTCGCGTATCACGACATCAGGATACAACTATAGTGTATTGGGGATAAAATAATGCCTTGCTCTGAAAGTTTTGGTGCAAACTATAGTTTATTTTTTTTTTCCAATCACTCAATTATTTTGATACGTGATGACTGGGGACATCGCTTCATGCATTCTTGTACAATCGAACTTGTAAATAGTCCTGCATTTTTGATAATGGGAGGGTCTTTGCGGTAGGTTGGCTACGCTGTCAACGCGCCCCATCGGCCACAATTATCTCGCCGCGGTGGCATTGCCACTGTCCCTCTCCCCCTAAACTCCGTTCCTGTACCGCTGCCTCTGTCTGATTGGTGGCGCGAAATATGCGCGCACGCGCTCCCTCTGGGCGGATGAAGCTCACCCACCTTGCAGGAGGACGCAAACCTGCTGCTCCCCTCCTGCTGTCTTTGCAGTTCATTTCGCCCCAGTAATGAGCTCCAGCGGCTTCCTTATCGCCGATATACTGCGTGATACAACGACCTCATGTGGTGAGAGAGCGGATAAAGTTCCTCCTACAGGCAAAGCTGAAAGACTATGGTCGGACAAAAAGAAACCACTGCATCTGCCACTGCCTGCGTGGATCTTCTGCACGCGGTATTCTGATCGTCCATCATCTGGTGAGTTTTCAGCAACTCATTTCAGCCAAAAGTGTAGTTGCTTCAGTGCAGCAGACCATTACTGGGCTATGGCATATTTTGCCTCTTAGCGATTGTGACTTTTAACGTTTTTATTCACTTTATATAAGTTAAATAAAGAATTCAAGTGAATTCATTGATAAAACCCCAAATATTCCAACTGCTTAACTATCATACGTAATTCCATCTGTGTTAGCATGCCACATCTTATTGAAGGGAGGAAGTATTTTCATAAGAGTATAAATATATGGTACTGTAAACAAAGAATGTAAACGTTGGTGGCATAGTACGAATACACTAACATGAATACAAAGGTACTTAAACAACTGCACTATAAGTAGTCATCGTAAAGTCCAGAATCCTGGAACTCGAATCCAAAGGCAGCATTAAAACTGGGGAAGTCGAGTTTGTCTTCACCAAGGTCGACGAATGTTGGCCCTAGATCCTCATGAAGCTGACCAGCATCACCGAGAACGCGCCTGTTTCTCGTAATCGACATTTGGGAGAGCCTATTTATCAAATTTTCCTGATTCTCTTTGCGGGGACTTCGAAGTCGCTGCAACTTCTGATTGAGGTAATCTCTCTTCACCTGCCTTTTAGCATCTGCTGTGTAATGAATGGCAGTTTTAACGCGCTCAATCCAGCTGGTTTCCATTTGCCCTTCACAGATTGCTCTCCACTTGTTTATCTCGAAAGCGTACTTTTCTAGCCTATGGTGGGCGTCAGTTATAAGCTCTTTGCGCATTTGAACGGATAGTTTGTAGGCCAAATCTTTGGCCCTCTCTGTAGGGATTGGGGGCTTGTAATGAACGCTTTTGGGAAAGACATCGTTTCGCACACAACTGTGCAAGAAGAAGAGCTGCTCACGTGTTACTGCTTCATGGATAACTGCCCACTCCCAGCGCCTAACGTTCTGCAGCACCTGTTTGCCGTAGTGATCGTGGATTTCCTTAAATATTCTGACCTCCTGCTCTGGCACAGACGATCTCGGACTAGAAGTCATCGCCTCCCCTTTGTTCCCTCTTCCAACACTGTGTACAACTCGGTTTGAACGACGACTACCGGCGCTCAGCTGACCGCACTGGCGTATGAGTGCTAGTCGTCTCAGCTCGTCCTATCGATTTCTCAATTGAATTCAAACCAACTCAAATTAATTTGAACTTGGAACCGATCGATATCGCCAAATGCCTTAAAAGCTGTCCCTTAGTTCCTCTGACCTTACTGCCTCCCAAGTGGATGCTACCTCACCAAGCCTAAACAACAGATTTTGCACGGGAAACAATTGTGATAGCCCTAAGGGGGAATGGTATCCCCATGAGGCTCTTTCTGTCCTCTACTTCTGTTTAATCAGGACCCTTGAAAATAATTTTTAAATCTGTTTTTTCTACCAAACCCTTTCGGTAAAGATTCGGCAGGTGAAAATCATTCCTTACTCAATTCTCTTGCCACAAGACCATTGACACCGCTTTGTGTTGGTGCCGTCCTCGTCTTTCCAATGTAGACTTTATGCAAAACCTGAGTAGTTACATGACTTTTAACAATAAAAACATTATAAAATGTCATGTCATATGCAGATTCTTCTAATACCTCCAGTATTTACCATGTAATGGTGCATCCCTGCCTAACTCATGGCAATTAACATTAGGTGGGAATTCTGACCACTAAATTGAAATATTGCCATCTTGCTTTAATGAAGCATTTGTAGACGATTACAGAATGCCCATCGTAGTCTACTTAGTTTTAACCCACACTTTACAATAGAACACTAAGGCATTATTTAGAAGTAAGTTGAAAGTGTTTTATCTAACGCTCAGTGTAATGTTTATGGGAAGGTGTAGTATCATTGTCCTGTCTACGCTGGATCGTAAGCTTGGGGGTAATTTAGAAGACAGGAGAAAAGACGGCTCATTTAGCGACTATGCACTGCGACAGTTACTTGACACCGCCAATTATCCGGCACAAGAAAATGTTACTTGCACCCAGACCTGTCAGTCAGGCCAACCTCGGTTACCTATCCCAAAATAGATGCGTCAAAATGGACAGCTTAAAGACCAGTCCACACAGCTTCCTTAAACCTAGACAGTAAATAAACAGGTTTTGTCTGTACATCGGATGGAGTTAAGAACGCCTACAACTAGTTTCGGTATCCAGATTTTTAGTTAAAAAAACCCAAAAATATACTTCACGTGGTAGTAATTTTACCAAGATCATAATATTACTTGAAGGATGTGACATTTTGTGCTTCCAACTTTAGGCTTTAGATCGGGGACATTGCTGATCCAAAAAGCATAAGAAGATACTGCATACAAAATAAGCTTTATCTGATAAAAGTAATTATGTAGTTGAATTTAAAGAGGCATTGCAACTCCAATTTTTTCAGTAAATATAAACAGAAAAAAAAATTAAAAGTGGGTGATATTAATTACATAGCTGCAAATAGCCTCCTCCAGTGCATGGCCTAGGTTATTTTGGGTCATTATGTATGCGTTTCGTATGGCTGGGTCGCTGCCATGCCCTCACGAGCCCCTTCTTAGTCTGCAAAGCAGACGCTGGCATATGGGTCGACAACTCACCATTTCCATTCACGGACACGAGACCGTTGAGACAAATGGAATTTCAGATAAGTTGGTTGCATGCAGAAAATCATGAGGCAGCAGAGAATAGATACATTCGCTTATTCAAAGCGAAGTAAAAATATTACATTAATTAGCCCATTTTCAAAACGGATACCGCAAGCATATTCCGGATGGCTATAAGAGAACCATAATATTTTCACCAGTAATGTACACATTTTTGGGGAATTTAGCTTCACACTAGAAGCAGTCCTAGTATGTGAAGTAAACAAACTTTTGGTTGATTTGGCAGAGTAGCAAGGACATTTTTTCAATACTGCTCGAACAGAGAAAGACGCATTTTTGCTTTGGCTAATTTTCTCACACGGCAAGGTAATTTTCGACCGCCCAAGAGCAACGACAACCGTCGAAACTGTGGTGGGGCGTTTGTGTTTTGTCTCTGCTTATTTTTTAATCCTTTTCACCGTTTTCTCGAGCAAAATTGGGGAGAGGGGGTACACTGATGGACTGTTAGCCTCAAAAGACGCGCCAAAGGTGGTGAGTTTCGCACTAAAGGGGAACTAGAAGGCGAAGAAAACTATGTGGCTCTGAGAAAAAGTTAGTGGAGAACTGAAGGAAACTAATTAGAATACCAAAAGCTTAGCAGATTTGTTAAAGAAGACCGGAATTTCTGTTCCCCTAATTATTTCCAGCGTCAAATATGCTGGGACTTACGGATACCCCAATCAGCCATGGTGCGCCTTATATTTAATCGCGCGTTTTTATATCAAATGCGTACATTGCCTGGGGCTGGTTAGAAAAAGTATTTCATAGGACTTTGGGCTGCAAAATGCATCCAAACTCCTTTTAAAAGTAGGCCTTTTGCTGATTAACCCCATTCGACCATGAGTGGACTTCTGAGCAAGCGAGAGAACCATGAGACTGGTCTATGAAATCCAACTTCGGACTTCTAACTAACAGGCTTCTCCAGGTTTTGTGTGAAGTGCTGTCTTTTGTTGCAAGCATATCCTAATTCCTTAGTAAAAGAATAATTTGCGTTCAATTCGTAAATCACCCCATGTTTACATTCAGAATCGAATTCTTTAAAAAACCAGTCTCTTAATGGTGAACCTCAAGCAGTGTGACAAATGCCCATTTGAAGGAACTCTTTGGACCGAATCCCTCCACATCCCACAGCTAGAGCCAAAACTTTAGTATATTTTACGTCATTGCTTTTCACATTCCTAATAAGAGATTCAAATGAGAGAGTTGAATTTCAGTTACCCCCTGTTGATAGGACATAATATGCGTGTAAGAATTAGGAAAGATTATTTCTTAGAATTTACCTGTGCTACAAAAGGCTCGAATTACAACATCTATTCCAAAATGCTTTTCAGCAACCACTTCGCGTGTGAGAGATATCTTGAATGTAATTTTGCGGAATACAGTCTACTTGCCCTGTAGGACCGAGGATGCGAAAATTGCGAAGAAAAGTGAATGCTACAGCCAATAAGAAACGACCGCGCACCTCCTTCACAGTCTCACAGATCAACAGATTGGCGGCCGAATTCGACAAAGACAAGTATATCTGAAACAATTTCAATGCCGACTCTGAGTTAATTACAGTGATTAAGTTGGCGTTTATTTACAAGGCAAAATTACGATTTTACATGGAATTGACCCCTTGAACCCTCTTTTTAGCTCATTATTTTTCCACAAATTCTGAGGCCTTTGCAAGGTCTCCGGACAACACACCTAATATTGACCATCAGGGACCGTCGTTGAATGAATGACCTCCTTCAAGATGCGACTTGACAGCCAATCTAATATATTCTCATAATCTAGAATTTCTGTTATAATAGGGGCTAGTCTTAGAATTGGAGAAACCTTAAAGGCACGATTAAGGTAGCATTTCTAACATTAAATGAAAATTGAAAATCACTTTGCTACTAAAATGTTCTCGTCGCTTCCTTTCGAATACAATTAGCAGTTTGTCATCAAAAAAGTGGTTTCTGAGGCTTATTTTAAAAGTAAATATTAATTTCAGATATTTGAACGAATCTCGGCGCAGACATTTGGCTCGAGAGCTTAATTTAAAAGAATCCCAAGTCAAAATATGGTTTCAGAACAAACGTGCAAAAGCAAAAAAAGTGAGTGAGCCATTGCGGCGCTCTTCAATGAACTGCAAAACAGTCTTACTTGCTGTACCTAAGTAGGAGGGCGTCATGCCAATCGCTTCCCCATTTCAGGCATCCGGTGCTTGCAACTACCTCGCATTTTACCTCATGGCTGAGGGACTCTACAACCATTCGGTGCGTGTCGAAAAAGCGGAGTCAGAAGACTAAGGGATAAAGTAAAGCGACAACGCATTTACTTTCGTTTACACTGATTTATTTGACGTTGTCCTAATAAAGGTTTTACTCGCTCAAATAAATCGCAGGTATATTTGCATTGCGTTTTCTAAGCCTATTCTTAGAATTAGGTCTGCGTAGACCATTACTTTAGTTGAAAAAAAAAAACAGAAATTAGTTGCTCTAATGCTTTTTAAAGGTGAATCAAATAACACCCCATTGTAAAGACGGGTGTTCCCGAATTATCTCAATTTTCTAAGAATGACATAAAGAATGACATTTTAAGTGTTTCATCGTTGTCACAAAGCGCGAGAAACAATCGACTGTAAATTATAATTCGACGGAAGCTTATGAGGTCAGTAACAGGAGTAGAGGAATGGAATCAAGAAGAATGAGCAATTAAGATGCCTAGGATTTAGTCAGTAATAAGTTCCACCTTTATGGATGTGCGTTCTATCCTTACCAAATTAGGAGGCGCCCTATCGTATGCACATGTGTTTCAATAAAGCGTATTCTTTTAAGGGTCTTTTTCTGCCTTACGTGTGATTTTAAAGAGACTTAAAATCAAGTGCTTGGATAATTTCCTTGATTGATTAACTCACCTAAATTTAAGCTATACTCAGTCACTGTGACAGGGAAGAATGCGGCTGCACGCAAAGGATGCGTTACGAGTTTTTCATGATACAGCACTTAGCTGGTAACTTTTGTGACTTTGTAAATCATTGTAGGATAGTTTGATTAATGCTAAAGCTCATTCTTTGCACATAAATAGCGATCCTATTCTTCTTGATTGTCAACACGTGTAGAAACGACAAGGACCTTGAATTTCTCGTGAGGATATGCGTAAAACTGTTGCATGAGTGATTTATTTACTCCCTTAATGTAAACATTATGGCACTTTCAAATACTAACGGAAGGAGAGTGTGCCAATTCTACTCAGTTGCCAGAATGCACAGCCATTGTGCATTAGCTTTAGATAAGCCCCACTAGCATTTGCCTGCACCTAGAGTAACGAAAACTCAATTTGAGATAAAGGCGAGCAACAGTTTAAAGTGATAAGGTAGTGCAAATGGAAATACGACTTGTAAGGTCAATGCTGATGCATAACATCAAGAGGACTCATCTGGTAAATCACATTTGCATACTTTTCCCCACAGGCGTATTTTAAGCGATTAACGTTAAAGCGATGGAGATACTCTTTGCTACTTAAATAGACATATGCAACATTTAAGTAGAAGCAGATAACGCTCAAGGAAAGTGATCTCGGTTTTCAAATATGGACGGTTAATGCACCGTATATACTCGTCGAAGTTGACACTCACATCAAAGAAATATTTGAAAAACTGTTTAGATTGCCATTTTAAAAGAGGAAACTCTAACAGAGAAAACAAATATCAACATGATGTTCTGGAAACCCTTGTAACCTTTGATCGATTACGGCATAGCATAAATTGTAGCGGCAGCGGTTGTTTTTCGAGAAGTCTTTTAAAATTGGAATCTCCAGAATTCTTAATAAAAAGGTTGATGGCGCCACAGCATCATTCAATGCACCCCATGTTTGCTATCCCTAAAATGATACCCAATGGCAAATCGCCCTTATCTATTGTTAATGAGAGGCAGCATTTGTTTTAAAACATCAAGGAGAAGGCACCAACAGCGTCTGTCAGAGTGAGGCATGGGAAGTAAAACACCAAAACCACGTCACAACTGGCAATTGAGTCATAGTAATTTAGAGTTTTATTTTAACAACACCCTAATGCAAAGTCACCCTTCAGAACCCTAAAAGCGACGCCCTTCATCACTAACACGAGTTTGCCATCACATACACGCATTTAGAAAAATTGCTATTTGGGCGGTTTGTCACAAGAGGCAAACCCACGTACACTCACACGCAGACACGCAAGTTGCTGCATCTCTCCCCGCCAACCCTCCCATCCCCTCCTTTCCTCTCATTTTGGCAAGTTTTTTCAAATTCACAGAGCAGGAAAAAGCTGCGGTAGCAACTTCTCGTCGAGGAGAAGAATGAAACTAATTTCCAATACTTAAGCAATGAATGTGCATCGAGAATGGACAATTTTTCATGATAGTTGAGACATCTAGATGCCCTAGAACACACTTTTGTCGTATATGAATGCGTTAGTTGATGAGGTTAATAAGAGCGCGCTTAAATGGACAGGGACACATCCATGTTTCCGCATTGCATCTCGGATGAAAACTCAATAAAAAAATTCAGTTACCTTCCATTTTATTTAAATACAAAGAAGCGACTATAATTAATCAGTGTTCTACTCATCACTGACCGATACCCGTTCTGTTCTCCGCTCAAAATTTTGATGTCCTTGGAAAGTGTTATCCACCTTACCACTGTTGGACCTGTAAACAGCTCATCCTCTCAAGATACAATCCATAAGTAGATGAAATACAGAGCCATAGTCATGGGTTCATAATGACCACCAGTGTGCAATCAATAATATTTTTAAATAATTCCATACCATAAACAATTAAAAATCACAAATATTAATGAAAATAAACGTCTTGTTTTCCATCTTCTGGTCTTTAAGACTTCCGGCAAAACTTAGTTATGGTCCTGTGTCATTGAATGACACTATTTACAATGCTCAAGTGGTAAAATTTCCTCTCTTTTGATATAGTGTCATACGACTTCTTAGCCACTTAGTTGTTTGAGGTGACACCAGAAGTAAAAGATTATCCGTTACGGGTATAGGAAGAACTTTTCCAGTAGAACTGTAGTAACCCTTCAGATCATTGGGAAGTTTATTAAACGAACCCGTTTTAAGATAGAGATATTGAACCCTGATTAATAAAATCAACCATTTTAAACCAAACATACTCAACACTACTGCTACACTGGCACGTACATTGAACAGCTTCACCTTCCTTCGATTTTGATTAGCATCAATAAAAACAAAACAGCACTCAAGAAAGTACAATTGTGTTTTCATAAATGTAGCACATTTTATTTGTACATCAATAGGATTAGACGAGGATTGACTGGCAATGCTGCGAATAGATTCTCCTCTCTCTATCTACACAAAACTTGAATGCTTAGTAGATTTTTTGTAGATAACCAGATCATGTCTAATATCATCAATGGGTTTTTCGGGGTCCTCGCTAGTTTTATCATCACCCTTCTCACCAAGAATGTCGTTTTTGAGAAGGCGTTCAAATCTCTCTACGCCGCCCATCATTTCACCGGCCTGAGATATGGGCAGCGTTTCCAGATTGAAAGTAACCTTGGAGCCTTCAGCTGGCCCTGGACTCTCCTTTGAGTTTTTTGAACTTTTTGAAAAAGTTGAAGGATCGAGGGTCTGGTAAGCGTCGGAGAAGCCGTAGAATTCTGCTCCTTCGATTGGTATAAGGCGCCCATCAGGAGCCAGGTAGGCTGTGGGTTTTGGTGGCATACGATTGGCTACTTCAAGGCTCATGTGGTCGGAGAACCGGATTGTCGACAACGTTAATGGTTTCGTCATTAACTTGCGCTGCTGCATGAGCTTTGGAGATGAAGGTATTGTTTGGTATGAACCCAAAATACAGGGACCAGACGTGACGTTACCGGGATAGCTCGAACCGTTGTTGTTGGTGGATATGGAAGAGGCGTTGAAAGGAATTGATATGTCGTAGGCGCCCTCACGACCATTATGCTTTTTGGCCCCCTCTCCAGCTGAAATTTTATGGTCAACACAAAAAACACTTTTGGGATAACTTTCATTAAGGGCGCGGTATTCCTCATTCCATGCACGGCTGGAGGGTCCCATCGTCAAGACCTAGATTACAAAATGAATGAAAAAGTAGCTATTTTTTAATTTAATAATGACAAATCATTTCTAGAAAATGGACTCTTTACAATATGAAAAACCGTTTTATTCCAACAGCTGGTGATGGATTCGAATTTATGGCCTGACAGGATGTGCTTCTTTGAGTATCGTGAGGAAGTGATGCTCGTTTACAAAACCACTAAAGTGAAGTAATTGACTAGTGATTAGTAGACCCGTTAGCTGAGGTTAGACGAATGTCAACGCTCACCAAATGGACATGACTAGTAAACATTCACCTCATTTAAAAAGTTTACGGAAATTGGAGACTGGAACAGTTAAACCGACCATCCGATTAGGATTGATATCAGGAGTAAAAGAATTGGTGCAGTACAAATGTCTTTGCCAGGCGTGTGAAAAAGTTTAATCATATACCCTGGACAAACCTTCTTATTAATTGATGGAACTATTGAAAACACAAAACCCACAGAATTGTGCAAAATTTAAGGGCCAGAACAGAGAGTGTGTGGGACAGAGGAGGTGTCTTGACTATATCTTGGCTTGTAATGGGCGAGTTCCTTATGCGTAATAGCAACACGTACTCTTGGGTATTGAGTGAGAACCGCCATCTGAGAGACTATAATTTCTTGTTCAGTAGATGTACTCTAATTCAACCAGTGGCAGAAATATTTTGGAGCACGACAGTTGCCTTAGGACCTCTATGCCTGCTAACTGGATGCAACTCTTCCCCACTATAGCTTCACTACAGTGTAGTTGCAGGAAAGCAGTTACCTCGTGCTTTTGCGCAATCGTCACCAATCCTTCTCCTTCTGTCATCGTGCGCGCGTTTTCTGGTGTTTTGTTTGAAGCAAAATCTGAAAAAGTAATTAACTCCACTAACTGAGGTAGGATGAATTCGAATTTGCAAACACTCGAAATTTTAGCTTAAGCTCATGCTTTGAGTTTATCAAGATGTGTTTGTTGGCGTGCGTGTTACTTTGCACAGAAATGGTGGCCTTTGTGGGCACGTTTAAAAAGTTTGTTTTTATTATTAAGTAGGTGATCTTAACGCTCAGACCAAAAACATAAACCAATGCAAAATCTCGTAGGACTTTGTGAATTAATAATCCTCCACATTGAATGGTAGATGACAGTTCTGGAATCAGTTATGTAAGTATGGCCCATTCGAATTACCGCCAGACCGTAGATGTAAACAGTCTAAAAAAGAGGACTCAAAATCGCAAAAGCGCTTTTGACCGCTACCCGACCCGCGTTTTATGGTTGTGCAGTCTCTAGTATCACATTTTTACCTAGTCTTTGGTGAAAAGCATTCCCCATTGTTAATCTTCTACTGCTGTCAGTGCTAGAACATGGTACCTTAGATTTGTTGTAGCAGGGTCATAGTGTGCCACCATTTCCGCAAGCAAAAGGCGCACTGTGAAATAACATCAGCAAAGCTTAGTTTGAGACCCCTTTAGGTAACTTCATCCTTAGTGTCTTGCTACAATATTTAGGAGTTTTACATGCTCATGCTATCTAAGTGGTGAAAATCAAAATCCGAATTTGCAACGTCAAGGTTAAAAGTCGAATTAGCTTTCGATTGGGCTTTACAACACTGATGTTGAGCGCTTTCTCAGTGGAAGACACTCAACATCGACGATATCAACATTCCACTGTGCTTATAATACAAATGTTTTATTTGCATGGGAAGCAGGTGGAAACCAAACAGATTTACAAAATCATTTCTCTTAAAGCTGCAAGACTTCACGAATATGGATATTCCTAGTGTGATTGGAGGATCTTTACAAGATTTCTAGCTGCCTTTGATGGAATTAACTTGCTGGATTGACACCAATCACCTTATTTGACACATCACTAGCCCACGACTATAAAGATATCTTTACGTGCGGAAGATAAAGTTGCATCACATTGCAGTTCTGAAACAGATTAAACTATGTGGTCCTGTTTCGCTTCGGTTTACCGCCAAAACTTTCCCACTGAAAAGTGTTAGACTGACGTATTTTTCACCTTTTTAGACTACAAGACAGTTTTCTTCCACAGGGATACAAGACTCCTGTCACACAGACGGATTTACAATTTCCTACATCAATTAAAAAGGTGGACTTTATGCTGGCCTAGAATACTCTGTATTTGTGCATACATATCATTTGATTAAAAGTTTCTAATTTATATATGTATTTCCATAAAATTCCAAAGCTTGCTAGGTGACATTCCATCTCTTCGAAACTGTCAACATGCATACAAGGGTCACCCAATGTTACAGCGCCACACTGCTGACTTCAACTTATTTCACAAGTAAAGAAAGTGCAGCTATAAGAGGGCTGCACTACATAGGATTATCCATGGAATCAACGTGCTTGCTATTTTTTATTCATTATTCTGTAGATCTGCTATTCTGTACAAACGATTCTGCCTAACAAGTGGAACAGAACTGGAGTTTAAACTGATTCCATTTGGCACTAATCAGTACACCCCATGTAATGCAATGGTGCTGGTACTTGTATGCAAGGAAAAACACTTAAGAAGAAGCAAAAGCTTTACAATACTCTTGCTTGCTCACACTGACTATCAAGAAGACCGCATTTGAGAGCCGCGATGATAAAGAGGAGGAGAATGCAGAAGATGCCAGCGATGGAGACGAGGACGGAGATGATTTTCATTTGTTGAGAGGAAGAGGGGGAGGCGAGGGAGGCGGGAGGTGGGATCGCATCGGCGAGCTTCTCTTCTTCCTTCTCGCTATCCTGCACCTCCAGGTGCATCCATTGTCGTCTCACCTGGCCAGGGCCTCTGGGTCTGCCTTCTCCCGCCCTCTCACCCTCTTGGGCCCCTGAGCTGCCCCCAACCGCATCGATTCCTGAGTCCAGTGGAGAGGCCACTGAAGGGTCCTTCTGAATGAACTTTGTGTAGTCTGGTTCGCTCTTTACTATTACCGAAAGTTGGATCTAGAGGACAGCAGTGTATCAGTAGGGTTAAACAGCTTCCTTGAAGAGTCTTTTGGCATTTGACTTTGTATATTTACATGTCTTTGTTGAAAACAGCCATCTCTCATCAGCTCATTACCATTTTCACAATCAGGTATTTGTATACCCTCCATGATCACGCTTAGCATGCTGCACGCTTTGCCCAAAGTCTCATATTTTTAATACATGCAAGCATATGAGTTAATGCTTGCATTTTGATAGCAACAGGAATTACTCGGCTGAGGAAAGTCGATTCGTTCACCTTGCCAAGGTTAGTAATATCAAATATTTATTTGATTTTGGCCGACTATACAAAGTAGGCAGCTGATCACTCAACTAACCACTAATCGTCTCGCCACACAATCCGTATTCTCAACCTACGAAATGTCAGCTACTTAACTTAATTCTTCCGAGAAAGTCGTCATGTTTTGGATCTACACTTTGCGTTCAATTACAAAAGGATTCGCAAAAAATGGGCTTCATGCGCAAATACTTATGGTAATCTGTTTATAATGGAAAGAGGTACGCATAAATAACAACAGCAATAAATGGGTTATTCTTGGAAGTCATCCAGCATGCATACTTAATGACATTGTAGGCATTTAGGTCTGCGTGACAGTCAGCTGTTTGTCGGCTTTATTCAAGAGGCATTTATGACAGGCGGAACAACCTTAAACTGTTTAAAGTTGTAAATTAATTAGCTTTTGAGAAATGGGGGTGAGTAATTCAAAGGAAAAGTCCAAACTGCAGTTTTAGGAAAGGGGAGAAAGATTTATGAGCGTATCGCATGGGCAGCGTCATTGTTTTTAGGTTAAATAAATTTCATTTTCATAAATGGGTACCGACCACAAATTGAAGTAGAAGAACCTCGTTCCCCTTTTTTGGTGCTATGACGTGAGCTCTAGCCCTACTTCAACTGAAAAGTGTGCATACAGAAGGAGTGGGGACACCAATTCCATTGATTTTCACAAGAGCTTGACTTCTGATGTGTAAATGTGCAGCCAGGCCGCTCACAACAGTGGAACAAGGCCTCGAGAGACAGACTAGGGTTCGGTAATTTCTATCCACAACTTAATAACGGAGGAACTTACCGAAACATGCCAAGCAATGCCTCAAGCTGTAAGTTGACGATAAAGTACGCGATGTAATACACTTACACCCACTATGCTTAAGTTTGTGCAATCCCATCTGCCACCGTGTTAGGATATACAATCCTCAGTTTGGGGTTTTTTATTCTATTATGACCATCCACTTATGTCAACTTGGCTATCGCGTCCCTGCATTTCACAGTCCATATTATTAAACAGTAAGTCAAGATACTGTTAAAGTTCAACTTATTTAAGATCAGCTACGGTTTTGCGATCAAATGACATTATGATACCCATGTAACTTAAAAGTGGATTGATGTATAAATTTGTGGTGAAATTATTCGTGTATTAATGAGCCATGGTTTCATGCTTTGGCAGGTACGCTTGTGCCAGTAAAATACATCAATTGGTCAAAGTTTGGCATCATTATGTAAAGCACTCAAGCTATACTGGCAGGAACTGCCACCATGTACCTGATCTGTAATGCATGCACTTTCCTGCTGTAGTAAACTAGAATCAGCGTCTGTGAGGGTAGGTGAGTAACTGAGAGGGTGTCCCCCAACTGTCAAATATCCAAAAAACGTTCAACACCAACCCTTTCCGCACCCAATGACTCCTCTTCCTCACCACACTACGCCTCATGCATAATTGGGAGGAAGTCAGGCATGCCAAGGGAAAAACTTGCACTGTCACACCCCAATTGTCACCATCTGTCATTCTTTTCATCAACCAAGGAAATAATTATCAAGGCAAATTAACGACTGAGAAACCACGAATAATCCAACGAAGCTATTAACCAACTTTAAACAGAACTATGGCGAGAATCATTACGAATGGGCAGTATGGTGTCGACTGCTGAATTCGTTTCGAAGAATGGCAGGGCATTTTCGTGAACATTATGATTGCTAAAAAGGTTTAAGTTCTTGATTTGCGTTAAAATTACAGAAAGAAATTTGACAGCAGCCTGGAATTATAGAGTGGAATAAAGAAGAGTGTAAATGCATACTTGAGAAGATAGACTATCGTTTCCAGTACCATCACGAGCCTTCAGCAAAAGTTTGTAGCTCTGAGGTTGCGGAGGCCTTTTGAGAGCACATAAGACGTTCGGAATCTCCCCAAATAGTCCAAACATTCCGTCAAAAGTGTTGTCCAACTCAAGTGTGCAACAAAGCACTCGACTCGTTGGATCGCAGTCCCTGTCGATTACTCTGTAGGGGATGGGTTCGCAGAAACGTCGCTGGTCCCTCAATGTCTGGTTGACACCCGCAGGAGGCAGCTGTTCCCAGGCGAAGATGATGTGTTTCCGGTGAGGGGTGATGAGCACGAACTCAGGTCGATTGTCATTGAGATTTAACACAGAGATGATTACGTTGGCCTCTGTGTGGTAGGCGGCAGAGCTCATTGGACTGTCGACGACGGGTGAGGTGGCTAGCGGTGCTTCGTTCTCGGCTATGACGGTGAGGGAAATGGAGGACTGCTTCTCGAAGTCCACAGGACGACGCATGCTTAGTTGTCCCGTGGCACGATCAATGTCCACTAAGAAGAGGTCCTCGGGTCGCCCACGTAGCAGGAAGCGCACTCTGCGGTTGGTCTCCGTTAGGTCGGCGTCGCGTACTGACACCTGTCCGACCACCGTCCCCACTGGAGCGTTCTCTTCCACCTGCAATTTGAATAGATTTTGCACTGCCTACCATTTAACAACCAAAAATCACGTTTAGTATATTCCCAGCCCAAAAAACCGTTAGCCATATGCCTATCCCCTTGTTGCACTTATCCTGTGGTGAATGCAGGAGGATAATCATGTTCTTATCTCCCTGACATTTGAATTATTAAAAAACACTGTAGTAGAGACTCTTTTCACGAAATAAACCTTTATTTGCAAACAAACTGGGTTACACTAAAAAAAATAATGTTATGCTTGGAAGAAAAACAACCAAAGGAATGCTGGACATTTGAGCAATTCGAAATGATATTTTGATGCCTTTTGATAAGTTATAAAATGCACCTTGAAGTTACTTAAGAGCATTAACGAAGAACCAACTATGGAAAATTCTGGCCAAAGAGCTATTGGTTCAATTCAAGAAGTCTTCATTCATTTACATCGATTTGAAAATGATTCATTTGGAAAAAACGTGTTATGGTAATCATTGCAATTTCGTTGAATCGAATCAGAGGGGTCCATTAAACTGGACGCCATTCAAGGTGGCGAGAACTGGGAACTAGGATCCTCAGGATATGAAAAATTTTAGTTTCAGCTGCTGCCTGGTGTCTGGCATTCAAAGCTAATGTGGCAAATAACAATCGTAAAATAAACGAATTTGAAATACTCTCCAGAAGAGACGTTCTGAAAAAAGTTAAAATTTGATGCTGTAGGTTTCTTCCTGTGTACTGCGGGTAAAGTGTTGGTGTTGATAGTTTTATGTCGAGGAAAAGAAAAGATCTTCACAATTCCACTTTTTGTTCAGTAGAAATAATCCATGACACTGGAACATGTCATGTTTTTGTGCATAGCACAAACCTAGATTACGGTATTTAACTCAAGTCAAGAACGTCTCACCACCACCAAACTTGCTGAAGCAAAGTCATAACTGATTAGCCCCTAAGTATTATCAAAGTTCCAGCAAGAGTAATGAATAATTTGAGAAATGAATAAATAAACTTATTTTTACAAAATAATTCTCTAAAATCTGAAAACGGTTTAAATATTTAGAATTGTATTACTATCACTTCCACAAAAATTCTATACCTTCCGAAAGCTGGAAAAAACCTAGAGGTACAACTGGTATTAAATTCAAGGTAAGT